CAGAACAGAACTTTGTGAGACCTGCTTAAGTCAGCTGACAGTGGTAAAGGCCATTGTTTAGTGGTCAATGGAGGGAAAGGAAGAGAAGCAGATTCACCGGTAACACAGAATGTGTCTGTGAGAGGAAAGAGAAGGGCAGAGCTCAATGGGCATGTGGGGCAGAAAGTGCCTGGAGGTGAAACTAGAAACTTGAACACGGGTATTGATTATGAGGAGAGAAGGGAATTAAGAGGGAAAAGTTAGATACCAAGAAGTGGGGGCATAAAACAAAGACAGAGATCCTAGACAAGCTGGGGAATGGGAGTTTGTGTTCAGCCCCAAAGAGGAAGGCTAGTCCTGGGAGAGGGCTGACCCCTTCTCCTGTGTGGCAGTAACAGCATTTAGGGAGCTAGGGAATTTTACACAGAAACTTTCCCTGGAGAACACAACTCTGGACAATCTGCACATCACCCCAGTTATATTTGTTCTTAGAAATATTTGTAGATACCGACATAGGAGACTGTAGGCCTTCGATTCCTCCAGAGAACCATGACTTTGGACTACTATGGTTTTGCCTGTTTTCTCTGAGACCTCCTTTGGCATTAAAGTAGGCAAAGAAATCGAAGATGTATAAAAGAACCCAAGAGAAATCAAACCATGGAAAATTTCGAAAGCCAGACTGCAAACTCACTGGGTGATCTCAACAGATTAGATATGAGAGAGAAATCAGTGAGCTCACACAAAGACAAAATGAAATCACTTAGTCTGTGCAACAGAAAAAGTAGATTGAAGGGAAAATACAGATGGGAGCCCGACAGATCTGAGAAACAAAAACGAGATCTACCTCATGTTACTAAAGTCCCTGAAAGGGAAGAGAAAGTGTGGGGCTGAAAAAACTATTTGAAGAATTATTAATACGTTCCCAAATTTGGCAAAGGGCCTAAACCAGCAGATTCAAAAAGCTAACCAAACAGGATTAACCCCCTCTAAATTTCATGCCGGGTTGTACTCTACTCAAACTTCAGAACTCTGTATAAAAAGAAGACAACACTCTGAAAGCAGCTTGACAGGATGCATCACTGACAGGAAACAACAGATCAATGGCAGCAGATTTCTCATATGAAACCCAGGAAGGCTAATTCCGAATCTTATATCACAGAACAATATCCTTTAAGAATGAAGGGGACATAAAAAAAAAAAAAAGAGTGAAGGGGCATGAAGACATTTTTAAATGAGAAACAAAATCTTTGTTACCACAAAGACCTACTCTAGAAAAGTATAGGAGTTAGTGATAAAGAAAGGAAATGTTAAGGGACTTTAGGAAGAAATGCTGGGACTTTAGGAAGAAAAAATGAACAATAAAAACGAACAATGGAGTGCATAAAAAGTAAAGGTGAACAGACTATACTTCTCATGAGTTTTGTAAAAACTGTTCAAAAGGTGAAGCAAAAGAAATAAAATCACCAAATATAGCGCATAGTGTATGAACAGAAAATAATTACATGAAAGAATGGAGAATGTAAAGGGACCCGATGAAAGTAAGGTTTCTAAGTGCTAAAATGCTGATGTTGGTTGTAATAAGTTATGTATGTATAATACAATACCTAGAGTAATCACTAAAATACAAAGAGATATACACAAAAACATCATAGATATAACAAATGGAATACTAAAAACTAAAGTAACCCACAGGGAGCCAAAACAGAAACGGAAACAATAAACAGGGAACAAAAACAAAAATCATGAAATGGCAGACTTAAACCCTAACATATCATAAATAATTTTAAGTGGTCTACATGAAACAATTTAAAACCAGAAATTGGTAAAATGAATAAAAAGAAAGCATGACCCAAGTATATATGCTATTCACAGAAACTTATTTCAAATGTAATGATATAGATAAGGTTGAAGACGAAATTATGGAAAAATATAAACCATACGAACAATAACCAGAAAAATGCAATAGTGACTATATTAACATCAGATAAAGTATAATTCAAAGCAAAGAAAATTTACAGGGCAAAACGTGACATTAAAGAATAATGAAAGAGTCAGGAGACCAAGATGGCATAGTGATCCTAAATGTGTATGCATCAAACAACAGAGCTTTGAAATACATGAAGCAAAAACTGACAGAACTTACAGGAGGAACAGACAATTCCACAATTACATACAGCAGGACTTCAACAGCCATCTTTCAGCTATTGATAGAAATACAACACAGAAAAGCAACAAGGGTATAGAAAATCTGAGTAACATCATCAACCAACATCATTGTGTTGACATCTACAGAAACCCCATTCAACAACAGCAGAAGATTTTTTTTTTCAAGCAGCCTTATGTAAGATTCATGGAGACAGACTGTATCATTGATAATAAAACAAACCACAACTAACTTAAACAGCCAGATGAAACATACAACAAACTAGAAACCAATAACAAAAAGAGGACATGAAATATGCCAAACTGGTTTAGAAAGGAAGTCCTGAATATTTAGAACTGAATGAAATGTAATTAAAACATATCAAAACTTGTGAGATGAAGCTAAAACAGTGCCTTGCTTGAGGAAGAATTATACAATTTAATGCTTGTGTTAGAAAAGAAAATCTCAAGTCAATAATCTAAGCACCCCCCTCTAGAAACTACAAAGGAAAATACAACCAAATCAAGTAGCAAAAAAAAAAAGAATGTAATAAAGATCAGAAAATCAGTGAAACCAGGAACAGAAAGACAATGGAACAAAAACTGGTATAAAGTGCTAGTTCTTTGAAATGATCAAAGCATTGATAAATACTAACAAGACTGACAAAGATAAGAAGAGTTAAAATATTTCCAGTATCAGGAATAAAAACAGGGTAGATAAACAAATTCTGCTGCCATCAAAGGAAGAATAAAGGAATACTTGAAGCAAATGAGAAAGTTTAGGTGAAATGGTGTAATTCCTAGGGAAAAAACAAACAATGAAAATTCATCCAATATGAAATAGGTAATCTCAATAGTTCTATGCATATTAAATAAAATAAATACATAATTAAAAACATCCAAAAGAATACCTCTAGGACTAAATGGTTCACTGGAGAATGCTACCAAACATTAAAAGAACAAAACCAATTCTATACATTGTCTTCTAAACAACAGAAGAAACAACTCTCAACACATGTTGGGAGAGGCCAGCATCAAACAGACATCAAAACCTGACATTCACCATACAAAACCAGCAAACAAACAAAATGCAAGAATGAAATTAAGAGAAAAAACCCCTAAATAATATCTTTCATAAAAATAAAGGAAAACTTCCTCAATAAAAATACTAGAATATTGAATACTATAATATATAAAATAATTATACTCCATGATCAAGTAGAGCTTATTCCAAGCATACAATCAATATTAAAAACATCCTATCAATAGGCTACAGAAAAATAAAAAAGGTTGTATCGACTGAGAAAAACATTGACAAAACTCAACACCAACTCAAAATAACAACAAAAAAATCAACAAATTAGGAATATAGGAAACCTTCTAAACTTGATAAGAAACCTTTATGAAGAAAACCTTAAGACTAACATTGTATTTAATGATGAAAAACTGAATGTTTTTCCCCTAATATCAGGAACCAGGCAAGGATATCTGTCTCACAACTCCTATTCAACATTATATTGGAAATCCTAACTAGTGCAGTAAGAAAAAAAAAAAAAAAAAGATCTACAGATCAAAAGAAAGAAACAAAACTATCTCTATTTGCAAATTATACTTCTACAGGAAAATTCCAAGCATTCCATTAAAATTAATGGTTATAGTTCAGCAAATCTGCAGGATGCCAAAAACAATATCCAAAAATCATTATATTTGTATACTATCGAAAATCTACAAAAATTATGAGAACAGTTATTGAAATTTATAAAAAGTAATGAAATAATACTTAAATGCAGAGATATACCATCTTATATAAATGGAAGACCCAATGAAATAAAGAAGCCTATTCTCAACAAATTGATCTGCCAATTTAACTCAATTTCTACCAAAATTTGATGAAGATTTTTTTGGTTAAAAAAAAAAAGTCAAGCATATCTAAAAATTTCAAAGTAACTTGGAGTGATAAATAAATTTTAAATAAATATGGACAGAATAATCACTTTACCCAATTAAAAATTTACATATAACTACAGCAATCAAGTAAACCAACAGTACAGGACCAAGAATATGTTGAAGTATTAAGTCTTTAAAACCACATGATGAAAAGACTTGTTTTTTAAAAATCAAAGCCTTAAACAGTGTTAACTGGTGCAATAAAATGTGACCATTCATATGTGTACTCTTTTCTCACATAGAAGGGTTATTTGATGGTTCAAACTTTCATATTTCTCACAAAAATTAAGCTTCTTAAAAGTAGAGACAATGTTTCAGAACAAAGATGTTCAATGAAAGCTTCCAGACCTGCCCTCATTGGCAAACTCTCTGGACACTAGACAGCAATGAATATATGTATAAGACTCATAAAGAACGTAGGTCCTTTACCTTGGAAACAAAATTCTCCTCCTGACACCAAACTAAGAAACCCATGACAAAGTGTCATAGGTATGGCAAGGAGTCTGAAAGAAACTGGCTGTAGTTCATTTTCTCTTCTAAGTCTCTCCCTTCTTTTTGGAGAAAAAAAATTCCTGAGATAACACTGCAATGTAAACTAAGAAGATACAGCTGAAGGTTTTCTAAGTGCCTAATAACCACTGGGTCTCTCTTCTGGATGAATTCTCAGATGCGAAATAAGGCTCTAGGCAGGGTCATTTTTCAATATGACTCATTAGATGACAACTGGTATTTTGTAGTAAGTTTCCTCACAGGGAAGAAAACTGTGGGCCTTTTCTTTGGTATGAATGATTAGATTCTGAGTAAGATGTTTCTTCTGGCAAAACATTTTCCACAGTGTTTACATTCAAAAAGTCCTTCCCCAACAGAAGTTCTTGGAGATTGACTGAGGATTGTGCACTTGTAAAGGGTCTTCCCGCTTCTGTTTCACTGACAGGGTTTCTCCCAGTATGAACCCTTTGATGCTGACTGAGAGATGAGCTACGACTGAAGGCCTTTCCACACTCGCTGCATTCATAGGGCTTCTCTCCAGTGTGGATGATGGAGTGTCGAATGAGGTTAGTGCTCCAGCAAAAGGTTTTCCCACACTCCATGCACTCATAGGGCTTCTCCCCACTGTGAATCCGCTGGTGCCGCGTGAGGCCTGACCTGCGGTTAAAGGCCTTCCCACACTCACTGCACTCATAGGGCTTCTCTCCAGTGTGGATGCTGAAGTGTCGAATGAGGTCTGCCCGATTGCTGAAGGCTTTCCCACATTCTTTACACTCAAAAGGTTTCTCTCCAGTGTGGGCCCTCTTATGCAAGATAAAAGTGGAGCAGTGGGTGAAGGCCTTTCCACACTCACCACAAACATAAGGCTTCTCTCCAGTGTGGATCCGCTGGTGCCTCTTGAGATACGACCTGTGGTTGAAGGCCTTCCCACACTCCAGGCACTCAAAGGGCTTCTCCCCAGTATGGATGACATAGTGGTGAATGAGGGCTGCACTCTCACAGAAGGCCTTCCCACACTCACTGCACTCATAGGGCTTCTCCCCTGTGTGAGTCTGCTGGTGCCACATGAGGTATGACCTGTGCTTGAAGACCTTGCCACACTCGAAGCACTCATAGGGATTCTCACCACTGTGGATGATGTAGTGTCGAATGAAACCTGGCCGATCTCGGAAGGCTTTTCCACATTCTTTGCAAACAAAGGGTTTTTCTCCAGTATGGCTCCTGTTATGTAAGACAAAAGTGGAGCGATGGGTAAAGGCCTTTCCACATTCAGTGCACTTATAGGGCTTCTCTCCACTGTGAATCCGCTGGTGTTGGGTAAGGTGTGATTTGCGGTTAAAGGCCTTCCCACACTCCATGCATTTATATGGCTTCTCCCCTGTGTGGACCATGTGATGTTGAAGGAGGTAAGTGCTCTTACTAAAGGTTTTCCCACACTCTGTGCATTCATAAGGCTTCACTCCAGAGTGAATCCTCTCATGTCGGGCAAGGAGGCGTTTCTTATTAAACACTTTCCCACATTCATTGCATTTAAAGATATTTTCCTCTTCCTGAATCATGGGATGTTTATCAAATTCCTGTGAGCCATGGTCAAGTAGAGCACCTCCTGGAGGAACTGCGTGCTGCACAATTCTTGAACATACATCATCAGCTGTCCCTAAGCCACCACGTTCAGTACTTGGTTTCCTAGGAAGCTTCTCCTTCTGCGGGTCTGTATCTGACTTCAACTGTCCTTCTTCCAATTCCAATGGCCCATTCTGATCCTTGTCATGGTCCACCCGGAAGTCTTCTGGTGATTCAGCTCCTTGTGCTAGTTCCCGAAGTGAGGCTCCCTCAGATACGGCAGTTTCACAAGTAGTAGGTTCTGTGATCTTGGATTTTCCTTTCTTACCTTAAAGAAATCCAACACACAACAGGGCCCGTTAGTAATGCCAAACTGGAAAAAAAAATGCATTTCAGTGATATAAAAAAAAAGGCAAAAGTAGTGCTTCTGTGTCTGCTACATTTTATTACCTCTGAATACCAAGATTAAAATATCTTCCTTTTTAAAAAAAAGATTTTATTTATTTATTTTTAGACAGGGGAAGAAAGGGAGAGAAATATCAATGTTTGGTTGCCGCTTGCACACCCCCTACTGGGGACCTGGTCCCCAAACCAGTCATGTGCCCTGACTGGGAATCAAACCAGCAGCCGTTTGGCTTGCAGACTGGCATTCAATCCACTAAGCCACACCAGCCAGGGCAAAATTTCTTTCTTTTCTAGTCCTTGGACCACTGACACCTTGAATGGGAGACCTAGGGAAGTAGGTAGATTAATAGAAGTGCTGGAGAGAAGATACAGTCAATTTCAGGTTGGGTATTTATACAAACAGGTAACTCATTTGGGCCCCTACATTGTTTGTGCTGATGAGATGACTATGTTCAAGGCCTACCCACACTTGAAAAACTAACCGTAATGATTACAGTGTTGGTGCACTGAGCTGTGTAACTGGGCTTCCGGAAAAAAATGGAAGGAGGGCAGGAGACTGAGTAGTCATGTAGGTAATTAGTCAATCAACAGTGTTTATGAAATTGGAGTCGATAAAACTCTGAACCATGATGCAAGGTGAAATTATTAGATTGGAAACACTTCATGCATATATTGTCAACATCCTTGCAAGGAGTTTAATGAGTCCCTGAGGACATGGTTCATGTTTGGAACTCCTCCAAAAACTCTGAAAAACTTCTGATGCAGATCTACTGGACAAAGATTTTTTTTAAATCATCTTAAGGAAGTTCAAAGAGCTGAAGGAAGATATGAAGTAAAAATACTTATGTATGAACAAAATGGAAACATCAAGAAAGAGCTAGAAAACCTTAAAAAAGTAATTTCTGAAAAAGTACAATAAGTGAAAAGAAAAAAATTACAAGAGGGACACAAAGAAAGATTTGAATAATAATAAGAAGAAATCAGCAAACTTGAAGACAGGAGAATGAAAGTTATCACATCTCAGGAACAGAAAAGAGATTGAAGAGACCTGACTGACGTGGCTCAGGGGGTTGAAGGTCAGGCCCCCAGTTGGGGGCATGTGAGAGGCCACTGATCAATGTCTCTCGTCCACTGATGTTTTCCTCCCTCTCTTTCTCCCTCCCTTCTGCTCTAGAAACAAAATCTTTAACAACGACAACTCCCCCCAAAATGGAAGTGACCAGAGTCTAACAAACCTGTGATACACCACCAAGGGAACTGATATACTCATGATGGGATTCCCAGAAGAGAGAAAGGTTAAGAGAGAATACTTGAAGAAAGGGCTTAAAACCTCCAAAATTTTAATAAAGGCATCAATATAAACATCCAAGAATCTCAATGAAGTCCAAGAAAAATAAATTCAAATAGTTTCACTCTAAGAAAAATTATAATCAAATGTTTGAATACCAAAAATAAAGAGTATCTTGATAACATGCATGAAACAAACAACTCCTCACATAGAAGGAATCTTTGATAGATTTGTCAGCAAAGTTCTCATCAGAAACTTGAGAGACCAGAGGGGAATGGGTGAATATATTCAAGTGTAGAAGGAAAAAACTGTCAACCAAGAATCATGCATCTGGCAAAACTGTCCTTTAAGAATGAGGGAAAAATCAAAACATTCCCATAGATAAAAGCTGAGGGAGCCCAGGCTGGTGTGGTTCAGTTGGTTGGGGTGTCATCCCATACACCAAAAGGTTGGCAGTTGTTGATTCTTGGTCAGACACATGCCTAGGCTGTAGGTTCAATCTCCAGTTGGGGTGTGTATAGGAGGCAACCAATCAGTGTTTCTCTCTCACTTTGATATTTCTGTCACTCTTTCTCCCCCTTCCTCTCTCTCTAAAATCAATAAACATTTTTTTTTTTTAAAAAGCTGAAGAGTGATTGTTGTCACAAGAAATTCTCAAGGAAGACTTGCCGGGTGAAAATGAAAGGCCACTAAACAGGAACTCAAAGCCATACAAAAAAATAACAGTTTTAATACAGATAAATACATAGGCAGTTATAAAAGCTAGTATTGTAAAAATGATTTTTAACTCCGCTTTTTGTTTTCTACGTGATTTAGAAGATAATTTTTTTTTACATTTTTAAATCTAAAAGCTAGTATTGTTGTAATATCATAACCCCATATCTAGTTTCCTACATAAAGAGACTAATGCATTTAAAGGAGTCATTAGTTTAAGATTTTTGGCATAAAATAAAGATGTAATTTTGTGACCTGAACAACTGAAAGGAGAACAGAGCTGTAAAGGAGTATTGTTTAATGTTATTGAATGTAGCAATTTTAAGACATTAAATGTAATCCTACAAAGAAAATAGCAATAGGAGACTATAAGCAAAAGGAAATGAGAAAAGAATTTAAATATTTTACTACAAAAAACCCCCCAAACTAAACATAACAGAAGACAGTAATTCAGGAAATGAGGGACAAAAAAAGCTATCATGCATGCAGAAAACAAAGATTAAGATGACAGAAGTCTCTTCATATCATTAACTACTTTAAATGTACATCAATTAAACTCTCCAACTGAAAGAAAGATTGGCAGAATTGATAAAACCTCATGATCCAAGTAGATGCTGTCTACAAGAAACTCACTTTATATCCAAAGACACAAAGAAAATGAAAGTAAGAGGATGTAAAAAGATATTCCATGCAAATACTAACCAACAGAGAGCCGTGGTAGCTTTATGAACATCAGACAAAAATAGATGATATCAAAAGAGATAGCAGGACACAATAAAGGAGATTCTATACCCAAAAGGATTTGTTCTGAGAAATGCATCATTAGGCCATTTAGTCACTGCGCAAACAAAGTGTACTTACACAAACCTAGAAGTTATAGCCTACTGTATTTGCACCTAGGCTACATGGTAGGCTTCAAGCCTATATACCATGTTACTACACTGAATACTGTAGGCAATTTTAATACAATGGTAAGTATGTACCTAAACATATCTATAAGTAAAAAAGGTACAACCTAAATGATTAAACTGAGATTATAGTCTTATGGGACCACCATTGTATATACAGTCTACCATTGACCAAAATGTTATCCGGAGCATGACTGTAGTTACAAAAGGTATAATACAACAAAAAGACATAATTGTAAATACATACTTAAGGAAAGCCAATCAAAATATATAAATCAAAAGCTGACAATTGAAGGGAGAAAGAGACTTCTACAATAATAGATGAAAACTTCAATGCCCTATTCTCAATAATAGAACTGGACAAAAAAATAAGAAAAAAATAAAGGACTTACCATAGTAGACCAACTTAAGCGAATAGATAGAACATTCTACCTAACAACAATAGCATACACATTCTTCTCAGGTGTACACGGGACATTTTTCAGGGTGGACCACATCTTAGGCCATAAATTAAGTCTCAACAAATTTCTGTTATTTATTTTTAATTGTTGACACTATCACAGATGTGCGTCATTTTCCCCCTTCCACCAGGCTCCCACCTCCCAGTCTCAATAAAGTTAAAAAGATATACAAAGTATAATCTGTTTCTAATGAAAACAAAAACTTAACACACCAAAACTTACAGGATGCAGTGAAAACTGTTGAGGAAAATTTATCACTACAAATGCTTACATTAAAAAGAAACAAGAACTCAAATAAAAATCTAACTTCACAATTTAGAAAAGTAGGAAAAGAACAACAAACTAAGCTCACTAGCAGAAGGAAGGCAATACTGAGTATTAAATATAAATGATATGGAGAATAAGAACATAGAGAAAATTAAAAAACAAGCCCCATTCGTAGCTCAGCTGGTTAGAGGGTTGTCCCCATACGCCAAGGTCACAGGTTCCATCCCTGCTCAGGTTGCACACAGAACCAACCAATGAATGCGTAAGTAAGTGGAACAAGAGATCAGTGTTTCTCTCTCTAAAATAAAAAAATCAATTAAAAATTGTTTTAAAAACCAAAAAGCTGGTCTTTCAACAGGTCAACAAATGAACAAAATTTTAGCCAGATTAACTAACAAAAAAAAAGAAAAAATTCAAATTACTAAAATGAGAAATGGAAGTAGAGACAGTCCTATCAATTCTACTTCCTCAGAAATAATGATAGTAATAATAAGTGTAGCAGAATACTATGAACAAGTGTACATCAACAAACTGGAAAACCTAGATGACATGGAAAAGTTCCTAGGAACATAAAAGCTACCAAGACTAAATCATGAAGAAATACAAAATCTGAATAGACCTATAATTGGAAAGGAAATTAAATTATTAATCAAAAATCTCCCACCCTGGCTCATGAGATCAAGTGCCGAAGGGTCACCAGTTTGATTACCAGTCAGGGCACATGCCCGGGTTGCAGGCCAGGTCCCCAGTTTGGGGGTGTATGAGAGGCAACCACATACTGATGTTCCTCTCCCTCTCTTTCTCCCTCCCTTCCCCTCTTTCTAAAAATTAATAAATAAAATCTTTTTAAAAAATCTCCCAACAATATAAAACCTTGGACCTGATGGCTTCACTTGCAAATTATACCAAATCTTTTTTAAACAATACCAGCTCTTCTCAAATCCTTCCAAAAAACTGAAGCATAAAAACACTTCTACACTCATTCAGAGGCCAGCATCATCACGATACCAAAGCCAAAGCACTACAAGCAAACAAAGCTACAGGCCAATGTCCCTCATGAACACTGATGCAAAAACCCTCAACTCTGCAGCAGCAGGCTGAATCCTGTGGCATAAAGAGTCTCCCCAAATCCATGGCCAGTGTTTCCTGAGGGTCCCCAGGCTGCAGGGTCTTCCGCTTGTGCCCATCTTGGCTCCTACCTGGACAGGTGCTTTGGGACAGATACTTCTTCACCATCCACAGCTCCTGCCCATGCTCCAGCTGGTGGATCAGCTCATGTCTGGGAACAGGACACCCTGTTCATGGAGAAAAATGAGGACATAAGGATTTTTGTGAAAAGAAATAAAATCTCTCTATCTAGTCTGGGACTTGAGAATGTGGACAAGACCTCAGAATGAAGCCGCTCCCATCCACACAAACAAAAAATGACACGTGACCTGGAATCAAAGATATGTCATACCGACATGGAGTTTTTAATCCTAACACTAAGTCAAAAACTTAGTATGTAGAGAGTATAATCACAGTCAAAGGACTGTGACAGGGAACTTAAATGCATTATACTGTTCCAAAAGGGAAATGAATTTGTGGAGTCATTTAAGCAACTAACATTCAAAATACTGGCTCTCTTCTTTCAAAAAACGAAAGATTTAATTTATTTATTTTTAGAGAGAGGAAGAGAGGGAGGGGACAGGGAGAGAAACAGCGATCAGTTGCCTCTTGCATGCGTCCCAACCGTGCGCCAGACCTGCAACCCAGGCACGTGCCCTCAGTGGCATCAAACCTGCGACCTTTCACTTTGCTGGTAGATGCTCAACCAACTAAACCACACCTCTAAGGGCTTGACTCTTTTCATTCATAACAAGGTATGCGCAGGGGGAGGGGGTGGGTGACGGTGGAAGAGGGTATGGGGGGATAAATGGTAATGGAAAAAAAATACAATAAAACAATAAGCAAAAACAAACAAAGTATGTGTCTTCACTGAGCTAGGTCTTTTTTAGACCCTATGTTTTATATGATTCTGCTATAGGCCAGAGGCAAAATGAGGATTCTCTCTCAGGATTTTCTCATAGCATCCTCAGTAAGTACATACTGTAATCAGCACTGTTTTATAGATGAAGAACCCAAGCCTCCACCAGATAATGTGATTTGCCAAAGAGACGAGAAGTGGTGAATGGCAGAACCAATACAGAAACCCAGGTCTAGCTTTCTCTGCTGTGTGTGCTCTGTTACCACAAAGCTATAGGACTCCGCTCTAGAAGGTGCTGAGTCCAGACATGAGGACGATGAGAATCCTAATAAGTATACAACACTAGTGATACCAGCAGGGTCTTCAACTGCTAACCTGCATATAACCTGCTCACACCAGGCATTGCTCTGAGCCTTTTCTGTAAGTCACCCATTTAGCGTTGCCACACTCCTAAGGAGTGGATACATTACCCCATTTTACCAACGAGCACAGTAAGGCACACACAAGTTCAGTAACTTGCCCAATGAATGCCACACAGTTTTCAAGCAGCAGAATTAGACTGAATTCCAGGACTCTGGCTCCAGACACTTGTCTTCCGAACACTCCACACCAAGGAAGAAAACAGGAAACACCCTCGTGTGGGGCAGCACCTGAAACCAAGTGATGGTGAGGCAGGGACCTGAGCAAGGAGATTCATCCTCTGGGAACAGGGGCTGGGGGAGGGGCAGACTCAGCGACAGGAGACTTCAGCAACTCATGAACTACTAAAAATAATAAAACTGAGACTCCAACTAAGTGAAGGTACAGAAATTTACGGAAACATCAAATATCTTCTTCAGCATTTCACACAAAAAGGATTACTACAAAAAGTAATACAGAGGACAGTTTCGAAAAATAAAGATGTGTGCTTTACACTGGGTAACTTCAGCTGTATAAAGGACTCACTGCAGCCGCCACGTCTTCTTGACTTTGCTGAGGCCTGGGGCGCTCTGACAATTAAGCGGCTGGAGCAGGAAGTACAAGGAACAGGCCTGACCTGCAGCCAGTGCTCCAAGGACCTGAGCAAACTGTGACTTATTAATCAGTTTTCCTAAAAGTGGCCCTCCTTTTCTTACATTGCTTTAAAAAGGGACTCCTGTATCACACTGGTAAATGGGAAAAAGTCACCTTCCTTGATGGCAAGTCAACCTGTAAGTGCAGCAGTGAAATCAGCAATGCACGCTCTGTCTTTGAAAGAGGAAAATTAGAACAGGTGGGAGGCGGGGGATAAGATTCAGCTCTGAACCCAGACTTCTCCAAACAACCATCAGGAGGCAGGAAAGAGATAAAATGAAGGAGCAACTTGCGCAGGGTGTCTCTATGCCCCTGAGGAAGTGCCCATGCACCCTCTGCACAACTGACATCCAAATCCAGGCAACTGTTTTTCGGGGAGGTGGGGAGGGAGTGAGTGCCCTGTGCACGATAAGGATGCTTAGCAGCACTGCAGGGCTCTACCCACAGATGGCCGAAGCAACCTCATTCCAGCTGTGACCGCAGACGGCTGCAGACACTGCCGAGTTCCCCTGGGGAACAACACTGTCTTTGATGAGAACCACTGGCTTAGAAATACAAACAGGGTGATAGAGAAAGCAAGTGTGACAGGTAACAGCTGGTGAGGAGGATGTGAATGGGCCAATCGTATAAAAGGCTGAAGCTCCCAAGACAGTCTCCAGGCAGATGGAACAGCAGTGCAGAGCAGGAGGGGGGATGGGGGGGGCGCAGGTTCGTGCATGGGAAGCAGCAAAGAGCCTGCTTAACCGGAGCACAGTGAGTGAAGGTGAGTGATGAGGTCGGCAGGGACAGATGCCGGACTTTTAATTTTTTAAATTTTGTTATCAAATACCTAAATATAGCAAACATTTCCTCATTCTGTTTAACCTCTTGTCACTGACACAAATCATACTTCCAGTTCTGTAAAAACAGGCGCGCCTCGGATTCTCAGCCCTCCTTTTTCTTGGGCTATGTGGTCCTGAGATTATCTCAGGATAATCTCAGCACAAGACCACATAAGCTGCTGTTTCTCAACCCTGGCACTCTTGACAAGGGGTCACACAGAGCAGGGACTGAAGTGGCCAAGCCTGTCACAAACTCCCTAAGCAGAAAAAGCCATCCTGAACAGCGTGACATGAGCAGACCCAGAGAGAGAAGCCAGAACAAGAGACCCAGCAGCCTGGGCAGAATCCGGTGGTTCCCAGTTCCTGCACCAATCACACAAGGGCCCGACTGGATGGCCTGCCTTTGGGTCCTGCACAACGCCACCTTTCCTTCCACCACTTTCTGGAATCAAAAGGAACACTATGTTTCTTGTCCAAGAGACACATGGAAGCCAGGCAATAAGAGGTGAGATTAGGAAATGACTGAGGCTGTGGGGTGGAGGAAACAGGGCTCCTGAGACCTTCCTGACCACTGGCTCTGGAGCCAGAGGGTGGAAGAAGGAAGTGGCAGGTGACCCCCACATGGCAGAGCTGGGGAGGACTCACCCAGAGACACTAGGAGCCTGCAGGTCTCCAGCATCACCTCCTGGTACAGAGTCCTCTGGGCTGGGTCCAGCTGCCCCCACTCCTCCTGAGTGAAGGTCACGGCCACATCATCAAAGGTCACAGACACCTGGAAAGTCAAACACAGGAAGTCTAGTTGGCCTTGGGGCTGCCAGATGAAATCAGCGATTGTCTCTGCATCACAGTAAAGGTGCAGACATCAAGGTCCAGGGCTGCAAGCACCTCGTGAAGGCCAAGCTCTGTGCTGGGCTCAGGGGGAGGTGGGCAATGCTTTGGACATAATACCACAGTGTAGGAGAAAAGCCTCGGCAGGGGCCATTGTAACTGAGACACGACAAGGGAAGTGGCATACAGACTGTGAGATGCAGACAGTAAGAAGGGCTCCAGGACATCAGAATGAGAAAATAATGACAATAATAATGTCAGTAATGGTAATAACAGATGTGCCTGGGTCTCACTGGTCCTGCTAGGTGCCTGCCCCATGCTGAGGGCTTCACATTGTGTCTTTTCTTCACCCCCCAATTACAGCTGACATGCAATTTTATTTTACATTAGTTGCATCATGTCTTAAAGTGACTAAAAGTCCTCAGATCTTTTCTTTATCTATAATGAATAAATTTATTGTTTTATAAAACTTCATACAAGGGAAAACCAAAGATTCCAAACCCGCATGACAAGTCCCCAGCTCTCAAGCCATCATTTTCACCACTGACTCCTGACCAAACACACCGCATATGGAGTTTGCCTTGTCCATGTTTCTCCCGCCGCCACATTCTATACATTCTCCCCCATGCGAAACGCCCTGCGGATACAGGACCACAGCCCCGTGATGACGAGACCCCCTCATTAAACACAATTCATTCAGCCCCTCCACTCTCAGACCCACAGCTTTGCTACTGCAGATCTATCATTTAAGTGCTCCCAGATCGGGGCGTATAAGGAAGATAAGTGGTAAGGGGTGGGGGCGGGTAGAGAACCACAACAGAACTATGAAAACAAAAACAATCTAATAAATAAGTAAATACTCCCAGACAATGGCTAGTGGTTTTTCACCTCCACCTTCAGTGCTCACCTCTCTGTGCTTTCTAGCTCCATCCTCCTCCCTATCAGTTTTGACTTAACGTTTCAATTAAACTCTTGGCACTTCCTAATAAATGAACTGGTCTGTACACAGGGATCCTGCAATAGTACTCATTTCTGGTGCTGGGTGAACTGGCATCGCTGAATACATTTTCGGCAGGTAGCTAAGAAGAGAAAAACCAAACAGAACCTCCACACTGACTACCAGATGATATACGTTTAAATAATATGAAGTCTCTGACATGCAATCACAGAGCATCCTGTATGACTGGTTAGGGTACATATAGAACTTTCTTTGGTTAGTTTTAAGTTGGAAGTAGGTAAAAAAAAAAATTAGAAAAGGGAGTTGTTATCAATCAAGTCCTGGCCACCTGGAGCTGATAGTTAACGAAGTCACTCTTTAAAGACGGTGATCTGACTTCCTGCGTTATTCACGGTATGTTAAGGGCCTAGTTTCCTGGGCAGGTGGCTGCAGGCTGTGGGTCAAAACTCTGTTTTCCTGTCTGGTCTGTCTACTCTCCATTCCTATATTCAGCCTCGCGCGCTCTAAGAATGCAGATTAAAGTGACAAGCCAGCTCCAGTTTAAATAAACGACAAGGACAAAGAGGAATTCCATGGCCGACCTGGCCTCCAACGTACCCCAGGAGCCCTCTCCGAACCGGCGAAGAAGTTACAGCGCCCAAACCACGGTCCACTCACCTGCGCCGGGTCCACGCACGCCGCCGCCATCACGGGACCCTGTGCAGCAAACGGGGCCCGCGGAGGCGACGACCCAGGCGGGTCTCGCGGGCTCACGCGACAGTCACCTGTTCCCTGCCCTCGGGGTGACCTCGGCTGACTGTCGCACTTCCTGCGCACGGGGAGGCTCGCGGCTTGTCCAAAAGGGCGAGGCGCGTCTCAGACTCCCTTCTGATCGTTTTCGAAGCGCCCCACTAGAATCGACCACAGGCAGCGCCCGCCTCCCCACAGCTGGCGTGGACCAAACGGTCGCACGCAAATAACGTAAGCGCCACGCCCTGAAGGCCCGCCCCATAGGGGAAACATTGGACTGTCATTGGTCTAGCGGCCGGCACTAGGTGCACAGTTTTCTGGGTAATGTAGTTTTTCCTCTGCAAGCTACCAGCAACGGAGCTGGAGCCAGAGCTGGAGTCCGTGGTGGGGTGTTTAGAACTAACCCCACCCATCCTGGCTGCGCGACTCCGTTAATTAGACCGTCGTCCAGGTAGGCTAAGGTTGCGTTTCCTGAGGACACACACAAGAATCAACCAATGCCCTGGCCGGTGAGGCTCAGTTGGTTGGGCGTTGTCAGTTGATGCCTGGGTTGCTGGTTCCATCCCTGCCCAGCACGTAGGAGAGGTAATCAAACGGATATTTCTCTCCTTGTCTTCCTCCCCCCTTTCCCCTGTCTCTAAAAGTAAATAAATAAAATCTCAAAAAAAAATTTAAAAAATTAACCAATGATGGAGACTTGACTTGGGGTGGTGAAAGCACAGCACATTATTATAGATTATGTGTTGTAGAATTGTTCGCCTAAAACCTGTATAATTTGGATAGCCAGGTCACCCCAATAAATTCAATAAAGGAAAAAAAAGAACCAATGAATGCATAAATAAATGGAACAACAAATGAACATCTCTCTTTTCCTCTCTCTAAAATCAGTAAATATCATGGGCATGGACAACAGTGTGGTGATTACTGGGGGGAGAGGGAATCTAAGGGGACTAAATGGTAATGAAAAAATATAAGAAAATAAAAATGATAAAAGGAAGTTATGGAGAAATGTGACTTAATTAGCACTCAAAAACTGTTATACATCACCAGCGATAGTAATTTGCCTATACTGAGACATAATTCTCCTTTTCCCATGAGGTTGACCCTTACTGTTAAATTAAATGATATTGGGCTATGATAGGGGACAGAATTTATGAAATCATTGGTGAGGAAAGCTATGTAACTATTGGGGAACCTAGAAATCCCTACTGTAAAGCAATGGGAATTGTTGAAACAAACATATTGACTCTGGCAGTCAATACAGAGGCTGTAGTTGGTTTTTCCATCCTAATCAACTGTTCAAAATGTGCCCAGTGATATAAATTTATCCAGCATCAGAAATAAGTAGTATTGCAGAATCCCTAACTATAGACCAGCTAATTAGGAATTACCAAGTGTTTCAATAAAATATTAAGTCAAGAAAACTGATAGAGAAGAAGACACTAGAAGCACAGAGGTAAGCACTGAAGGTGGAGTTGAAAAACCAGGAGTTAATATCTGGGAGCATTTAAATGATGGCTCTGCAATAGTGGAGCTGTGCATCTGAGAGTGGAGTGGCTGAATTGTGTTTAACGAGGGGTCTGATCAACACAGGGCTGTGTCCTGAACCTACTGAACATTTTGCCTGGCAGAAAATGCATATGGTGTGGTGGTGGGAGTAATATTACCAAGGCAAACTCCATATGCAGTGTAGTCAGGAGACACAGTGATTACAACGATGTCTGCAATGAACGGAATGTAGATTTGATCTCCCAGCTGAGGAGTCTAGATGTTGACTCTGGTGACATCACCTTATTGTGGATAAAGAGAGCAGCTGCTACATGACACTTGCGAGAGGAATAGGGAAGTTTGGAAAAACACTCCCTCAATTGCTGCAAATGGAGGGTGTGGTTTCTGAAGACAGGATGTTACATTTATTATCATTAGGAATAGTGTATTCTGAAGCAATTAGAAAATGATACACCCCGGAGGTGCTAGTGAATTCATTGGAAAACTGGGTGGTGCTGGTGTGCAGCGAGACGTTTTGTTACAAAGATGGTAGCATGTTGCATGTCAGTATGCTAGTCCTAAAAACGGGGTTAGTTGAATCTAGGAGTCACTGTTGTAAGTGGTAAGTTATACACCACTGGAGTGTTTATCTGCAGAAAGCAGTTGCTAATTTTTTTTATTAAAAAGATTTGTATTTCTTTTTAGAGGAGGGAGGGAGAAAGGGAAACATGAATGTGTAGTTGCTTCTTGCATGCCCCCTCAATAAGGACCTAGCCCGAAACCCAGGCATGTGCCCTGACTGGGAATCAAACTGGCGACCTTTGGGCGCTCAGTCCACTGAGTTACACTAGCCAGGGCAACAGTCACTAATTTTCAAGGAGAGTGGTTAATTCACCATCTCTGGGGGTCAGGTGGGGCATCATTTTGACCCCCTTACTTATGCAACCATAAAGACCTGGTACGAAATGATTAACGTTTATTAACATGTTGTATTTTAAAAGAGAAGAAATGAAGGCAGATGAGATAGCAGGGTTAGAACTTCTTGAACAAACACACAGGAACAAGAGGTGGACAGAGCTCAGGAAGCCATCTGAGCAGATGGAGGCATCACCCTCCGAGAGTGGGCCCGCACCCAGGGGTGCTGCAGGATCTGGGCCAATGGCAGCCGCTCCGAAGGCTGGTATCTGAGCAGCTTGCTGATCAAGTCTTGGGCTCCCAAAGGTACTGATGAAGGAATCCTGAAGTCAACCTGATGAGGCCAGAAAAGAAACGGAAGTATGGTTCATTTTTTTGGTCCATGTTCTATCTGTTCTAAGCTCCTGCAAAGCACTGGATCTAAAGAGACAAGCTTGGTGTGTGTCCCAGACTGTGCACACGCAATGTGGCCATCTCACCTTGAGGATGCGTCTGTAGGTCTCAGAATAGGAGGTGCTCTCGAAAGGTGGATTTCCCACCAGTAACTCATAGCAGAGCACCCCAATGCACCACAGATCCACCTTCTCGCTGTATGTTTTCTGCTCAATCATTTCTGGGGGCAAGTAGTCCAGAGTCCCGCACACTGTCTTTCTCCTAGAAGAGGACAAGGAAGAAAGTGCTGCCCAGAGGCCCAGAACAAAGGAAACCTTCCTCCCTTGGTTCCCAGTGAGATGGGAGACCCTAGGAAGTCCCCTCCCCAGCGTGGGAGTTTGGAAACAAGTTTTAATATGGACTAAGGTTCAGAGAAGGCAAGTACTGGGCCCTGCCAATTCCATATTTTGGAATTACTCATAATAAAATCTTAAAAAAAGAAAGGAAGGAAAGAAGGAAAAAGAAAGAAAAGGAAAAGAAAAAAGATATGGGGCTGGCAGCTAGGGTGGTGGAGAAATTGAGCAAAAAGGAAAAAAAAAGAGGAAGAACTCATGAACACAGACAACAGTATGGTGATTGCTGGGGGCAGATGGTCGGATGGAAGTGGAGAGGGGATAAATGGTGATGGGAAAAATTAAATGAAAAAATAGAGATTTGGAACAAACAGTGCATTGAGAGAGTTCAAAAGTGAATTATGGCTTATTCATCCAGTAATTTGGATGAATTACTTCCAAAACTTCCTGAAATCATGGAGCAATGGTTATTTATTTACATGGAAACTTACTGGTACAGTTATAGGTCAACAGAGGGTTTTTTTTTTAAAAAAGATATGGTTACACCACATTCTTGGTCTCCAAATACATAATACACACATTTGAAAAAGGCAGTAGAGGTATGTGCCACTTAATGACAGGGAGAGATGTATCTGAGAGATGCATCATTAGGTGACCGCATCACCCTGCGAACATCATGGAGGCACTTACACACACCTGGATGGTCTAGCCTACTACCTACCTGGCCTGCACGATACAGCCTATTGCTCCTAGGCTACAAGCCTGCGCAACATCTTAATATACTGAATACTGTAGGCAATTATAACACAATGGTATTTGTGCACCCAAACATAGAAAAGGTACAGTAAAAATACAGTATAAAATGGTGCACTCTATGGGACATTTACCATGAATGGAGTTTGCAGGACTGTAAGCTGCTCTGGGTGAGTCAGTGAGTCACTGGTGAGGGAATGTGAAAGCCCAGGACATGACTGTACACTAACATTGATTTGACAAATACTTTATGTTTAGAGGACCATTCACCAGTCAGCCAACCTTCTACTATTCCCTGATATTTTAAAAAGGAAAAGGAAAAAGAATTGCCTTTTGTCTGCCATAGTTCTGCTGATGTGTGAGTAGGGCAGTGCCCCGCTCCCAGTCAAATGTACTTTGTCTTTTTAATGAGGAACCTGGTCCTTCCAAGAATGACCTGCCCTAATCTGTATGTTTGGATTGAGAACTTGAAAATGTAGAGTAGGTTTTATTCTTATCATATGGATGTCACCTCTGTGACTTTGAAGTAAAAAGTAAAATTATATTGTAGTCTACATTAAAATACTGTACACTTAGGCTATACTAAATTTATTTTTTTAATTTTTAATTCAATAGTAAATTAACCTTAGGTTACTGTAACTTTTTTACTCTATAAACTTAAAAAAATTGTTCCCCTCACCCAAGGACATTTTTTCATTGCTTTCAGAGAGAAAGGGGAGGGAGAGGGGGCACTGAGGGGAGGTGGTGAAGAGAAAGAGAGAGAGAGAGAGAGATCAGTGTGAGAAAAAGATGATTGGTTGTCTTCTTATATGTGCATCAAATGGGGATCAAACCCACATCCTAGGTATGTGCCCTGACCAGGAATGGAACCCACAACCCTCTGGTCTACAGGACAATACTCCAACCAGCTGAGCAACAATGACCAGGGCTTTACTTTTATTATTTTTAAAATTTTTGACTCTCTTGTAATAACTTGACTTAAAACACAAACACATTGTACAGCTGCACAAAAATGTTTTCTTTCTTTATATCCTCATTCTATACTTTTTTTCCATTTAAAAATTTTCTCCTTTTAAAAATTTTTGTTAAAAACTAAGAGACAAGCTTTGGCTGGTGTAGCTCAGTGGATTGAGTGTGGCCTACAAAGCAAAGGGTCACCGGCTGATTCCCAGTCAGGGCACATGCCTGGGTTGCAGGCCAGGTCCCCAGCAGGGGGTGTGCAAGAGGCAAGCACACACTGATGTTTCTCGCCCTCTCTTTCTCCTTCCCTTCCCCTCTCTCTAAATATAAATAAAATATTTAAAAAAAACAAGTAAGAGACAAACACACACATTAGCCTAGGTCTAGACAAAGTCAGGATCAGTATTGTCACTGCCTTCCACCTCCACATCTTGTCACACCACAAGATCTTCAGCTGCGATAACACAAATGGAACTGTCACCTCTTGTGATAACAATGTCCTCTTCTGAAATACTCCCTGAAGTACCTGCCTGAGGTTCTCATTAAGGTCACTCTTTTCAGAAATACATTGCACTGTGGTTTACTTGTTCCCCCCCCCTTTTTTTCATCATAGATTTGCTTTTAAGCGGGTAACGCATCATGAATGTTCTACTGGGGTCTATGTTTTCAAACTTTTTAAGGAGCTTACTGAGGTCCACAAAAGCTCCTGCTCAACACTTCTCTATAAAGTTTCTCGAGGATTCTCCTATTTCTTCTGAAGTTCCCTTTTCTCTTGCCTTGTCTTCAGCTCTGCCTTCCTGTCCCAGTTCCAACAAGCCCTCATTAGTCGGTTCCTCAGGAACCATGCCCAGAAGCTCCTCAGTGTGATCCTCATCCACACCCAGGTTCAAGCTGTTTGCCATCTCAACCACAGCCCTACTGATTTTGGCAAGCTCCTCATGTTGGCAAATCCTTTCAAGTCCTGGAAAAACCTCTTGAGTGTCTGCTTCCAGATGCTGCTCATACACTCCTTGGTGACATCATCCCAAGCCCAAGCAAGGTTCTTGTTGCAGTTACAGATGTTGTAATCCTTCCAGAATTGCAGCAGTATAGTATAATAATTACACAACCCAGTAACATAGTCATTTACAGGACTACCATTATCAATCATGATATACCACATATAACTATGTACTATACTTTTATACAACTGGCAATGCAGCAGATTTGTTCATATCAGCATCACCATGAACTTGTGAGTATGTCAGCTACGTCATGTCATTAGGCAACAGGGATGTTTAGCTCCTTTATAATCTTATGGGACCCCCATCGTATATGCAGTCCATCGCTGACCAAAGAAAAGATCGTTACGTGGTATATGCTTACATTCAAATACAAACCCACATTTGTATCTGGGTCTTACATGCAAAATGTATTAAACTAATGTAATCATTCCTTCAAAAAAGTTACTTACTTATTTTTAGAAAGAGGGAGAAAGAGTAGGACAGAAACATCAATGCAAAAGAGAAAGATCGATCGGTTGTTCCTCGCATGCACCCTGACCAAGGACTGGAACTGCAACCCAGGCACGTGCCATTACCAGGAATTGAATGGCAACCTTTTGCTTTGCAGGATGATGCCCAACCAAATGAGCCATACCAGTCAGGGCATTCCTAACTAGTACCCAGGTTCCCCACCCCACAACCTCCTTGACTTACCTCAGTGAGGGGGTATGCACAGACCACCCAAAGTCTGCGATCTTCACTTCACCCCTGAACCCCAGCAGCAGGTTCTCTGGCTTAATATCCCTGTGAATCACCTTATTCTCATGGCAGTAGGTCAGGGCATCTGCCAACTCCTCCATTATCTGTGTGAACAAAGAAAAAGAAGTCTGGTCCTGACAGGTGTGACTAAGTGGATAGGGTGTTGTCCTGCAAGCCAAAAGGTCACAGGTTTGATTCCTGATCAGGGCACGCACCTGGATTGTGGGTTAGGTCCCAGTTGCGAGAATGCGAGAGGCAACCAACTGATGTTTCTCTCCCTCTCTTTCTCCATCCCTTCCCCTCTAAAAATAAATAAAATCTTTAAAAAATATCTTTAAAAAAAGAAGGAAAGAAACAAAGAGTCTGGCCCTGGCTGATTGAGCTCAGTGGATTGAGCATGGGCTGTGAACCAAAGGGTTGCAGGCCAGGTCACCAGTAGGGAGTACATGAGAGGCAACCACACATTGGCGTTTCTCTTCCTCTCTTTCTTCCTCCCATCCCCTTTAAAAAAAAGAAATAAAATCTTTAAAAAAAATCTCTCGTTTTCTACTTCTAAGCCAGGTTCCACTCACTAATACGGCAAACTCCCTCATAGCCAGCCTACCAATATTTCACCCCGTAAGGTAGTGAGTTAGATTCTGTAGCTTACAACCAAAAAAATCCAAACTTAGACACACAACTTGTTCATACTCTGGGATAATTTGGGTATCCAAATGTGAAACTGTAGGCTACATGACATCATACAAAATTTATAGAATAAAATTCAGCAGTAAATAAAAAAGCAAAATCTGGACATTCATGACAGCCACAAGCTGTGACCCTCCCTGCTCACCGGCCCACAGTAAATTCATGGACCCCAAAGCCCCCATGGCCCGCACCTCACCGTGGCTGTACGGCACTCATCTAAAGTGTGGCTCTTTTGAAGCTCCTTGTAGAGCTCACCCCTTGGAGCGTATTCCAGAATCAGGTACACACGACGGGCATCATGGAAGTAGTTGTACAGGCGTAGAATATTGGGGTGTCTGGAGGAGAGATGCCAAAAGGGTCAGACTCCTCCCTGAGGCCAAACTCATGATGCTATCACAAGAGACTGGTCACGCAAGAAGCAAAATGTACCGGGACCTGAATAATAGCCTGATCTGGGAGAGCATGAGGGGAAAACAGGGAATGGGCATTAGGTGCATGACACCTGGAGCCCCTATATGGTGTAATTGTAATGAATTGCTGAGAAAAAAATCTTCCAGGTGAAAGCAAGGGCCTATATAGTTTGGGGGGAAAAGCTGGGTTCAGTTGTCAGAGATAAAAGGTGACACAGAATGCCCTGGCCGGGTAGCTCGGTTCATTAGAGAGTCCCGCAGACATACCAAGATTGCGGGTTTGGACTGGGCATATACAAGAATGAACCAATTAATGCATAAATAAGTGGAACAACAAATTGATGTTTCTCTTTCGCAAATCAGTCAATTAAAACATTTTTTAAAAAAGAAGTGCTCTGGCCAGGTGGCTCAGTTGGTTAGATAGAGCGTCATCTATGCCAAAAGGTTGCCAGTTCAATCCCTGTTTGGGCCACATATGGGAGGCAATGGATCCGTGTTTCTCTCTCTCCCTTCTTCTCTCTAAAATCAGCGAACATATCCTTGGTTGAGGATTTAAAAGAGGGGGGAAAAAAGAAGCAACTAACGAATGCATAAATAAGCGTAACAACAAATCGTTTTTCTCTCTCTCAAAAAAAAAAAAAAAAAAAAAAAAAAAAAAAAAGACGTCACAGAAGAACAAAGGTATGAACCGGAGTGGAACTATCATGCCTAAACATTCCTTACTGTAGATGCGCCTGAATTTCGATTTCTCTACGCAGCTGGTGTTCCATTCCCTCCTTCTCGAGCTGGGACTTGAAAAGGACTTTCAGAGCCACAATGAAATGGCTTTCCTTGAGCCGAGCCAGGTACACATTCCCAAATTTTCCCTTGCCCAGAGGACGCCCGATGTCAAAATCGTCAATGGTGAGGCTCCGGCTAACAGGAGAGGAAACAAAAGCCTCAGTTTGGAAGTTGAGCGGACCTCGGGGGCTCGCCATCCTCTTCCATGCACCCTCCCTCAGCCCCTTTCGCTTCTCCAGGGCCCTGCCAGGGGTCTGGGCTGCAGCTCTCAGTCCCACGAGTCGACACTTCAGAGGCACACTCATTTTTCATCCTTCCTCTTGCAGATACAAAGCCAAAGGCACTCACGCCGCGGGCACGCTGGGCAGCGTTGGACCCTCTGCAGCTGCTGAAAAAGAGAGCTGTCAACGCTTCCCTTTTTGCGCGCCCCCACCCCCCACAACCGACCGCGGGCAGTTCCTCTCAACCCTCCTTTTCTGGTCCTGGTTCTTATCCCTATCACCTGCGGGCTGAGCATTGCCCAACTTCACCACAGGCTGTGGGACACTCATGAGGAGAAGAAATGATGGCGAGATGATGCCCTCCTGAGCCCTGCGGAGCGGGGAGTGAAGGTCCGGCTGATCCCGAAAAGGGGCCACAGGAGGGAACACAAAACACTGGTTGAGACTCGTCCAGTGCTAATACGCGTCGTCGGGACGCTGCCTGTACGTCCTTCTGCGACTCACCGACGGTTGGAGAGAAGGCCCGTTGGCACCCAGGCCCCATTGGCTGAGACGGTAGTTCCTGACCGGTTTCCATTGGTTGAAATTTCTGAGGCCAGAATGCTAGGACCCTGAGCCAATGAGATGGCAGTACGGAAACCGAAAGAGGTGGGACCTGGGGCGGCTGTCGGAAGCGCTAAAAGCCAAAAACGGACTTGAGGAAGAAAGGCCAGAAAAGGTGCAGGAATCTGCCCTGAGCCCTGGTGGGTGGCTCAGTTGGTTACAGCGTGGGCCCTTCCAGTACTCCAAGGTTGCGGGGTGATCTTGGGTCAGGCCACATATAAGAATCAACCAACTAGATGCATCAATAAGTGGGGGGAACACACCCATGGCTGGTTTGGCTCAGTGGATTGAGCGCTGGCCTGTAAACCAAAGGGTCCCAGTTTCGATTCCCAGTCAGGGCACATGCTTGGGTTGTGGGCCAGGTCCCAGGTGCCTAGTAGAAGGCACGTGAGAGGCAACCACACTTTGATGTTTCTCTCTCCTTTATAACTAAAACAGTGCTCCTCCAAGGAAAAACAAAAAGCCACATAGCGCACTTAAGTATGTATGTACAGTATGTATGTATTGTAAATGCGTGAATGAGTGGACACATTCAAGAACTACGTGACAGGACTTACGTGTGAGTGAATATAAAGCAACTCCAGGAAGTTGCTGGTTTTGCTGGAGTTGGGAAGCTCCCAAACCACTTGTGCTCCCAAATGCTTAAAGGTCATGTCAAGTTCAAGCCGTTCCCCAGGGCCCCATCAATCACACAAACACACATAGTGAGGGCTTCCCAAAGTTTGGGCTTCTGTCCCCCATATCCTGTGCTCTTGAACTCACCAAGCCCACCTGCACACCTATTTATTTTGGCATGTTACAGAAGTTTCAACATTTGAAATTGAATTCCTTGAGAAGCAACTGATAAATTGTTGAGGAAATAGAATTTACTTTTGAATGTGTTTTTAAATTTTATTACTGATTTTAGAGAGGAAAAGAGAAACATCCATTTATTGTTCCACTTATTTATGCACTATTGCCTGTTTATTGTATGTGCCCTAAATGAAGATCAAACCCGCAACCTTCATGTATTGGGACAATGTTCTAATAAACTAAGCTACCTGGCCAGGGTGGAGAAATAATAATTTTTAAAAAATCCAACCCAGAAAATCTCGCCACAAAATTAGTACAGAAGTGAAAGGGTTTATTATTGGATAAGCATTAAACCAGAACGTGATGTGCATCAGATATTCACTAACATTGAAAAGACAGAATCTCGCCCTTTCATTGAGCCAAGCAGACAAAACCTATTACGTTTTCAAAATAATGAGACCTGAAGTAAGAAAATGTGGCAGCAACATGTTACACAGAGTTAAACCAAAATTTACCTAGTAACTGGAGGGCTACCTGCCCTTACATTGGTTTTCTGTAAAACAAACTTCTCATTCTTTAGAACACAATGGAGTTTTGCAACTTGGAGCAAGGAGCCCACCGAAGTCAGGCTCCTTCCCTTTCACAGGATTTCATTTCAGAGATTGTTCCTAGGTCTTTGAGAATGACATTTCTGGGTTGGGACGCGTTCTGGGGTGTTTGAGGAAAAGTAAGGCTAGTATACAAGGCCAGTGTGGCTAGAGCTGCATCTGCAGGCGTCAGAGTGTACAAGATAAGATAGATAAATGGAGACAAGTTTTGTAGAACCTTGTCCATCGTAGAGGTTGTAACCTGCAATGTGTTCTAAATGTCCCTGGTATTTGCTTAATCAGGTAAAACGTGTAGCCTTGGAAGTGAAGAAGGAAGTTTATGTTCACAGATCTCTATGGAGCAGGAGTCAGGACTTGCCACCCAGGGCCAGGTGGGGAAAGCACCAGGGTGGTTCAGGGGGCAGAAGCCCCAAGGACAAAACACGGCTCAGCCCCTTGGTTGTGTTTTCTGCAGGAAAGAGAAGGCAGGGCAGGTAAACACACCTTAGGACTGGCTGGTTTGAAAAGTACTGTAGAACTTCGCAGCATAGGAGGTGTTGCTTGCCTGATACCTCGCCCCCTCTCTGAAAATAAATAAACCTTAAAAATTACTTCAAATCGGGCTACAAACAAAATAGAAAATTTAGATGAAATGTAATAATTCATTGAAAAGGACAAACTATCCAGTATCCAATATGAAATATATATCCCCAATACTTCCATACTTATAAAAACCAGATGAGTAAAAAAAAAAAAAAAAAACACCCAAAAAACTACTCATCATTAGTCAAGAAATTAGAAAACTTCCTCAACAAAATATAATAAAATGGAATGCTTTAATATGGTATATTAATGTGCTATATAAAAAGAATTATACTCCACAACCAAGTGAGATTTATTACAAGAATGCAAGGCTGGTTCAATATTCAAAACTCATTGCAATACTGTAACAGCAATAGGCTAAAGAAAAAAATCAAATCATCAATCGATGAAAAGAAAGCATTTGACAGAATCCAATACTTATTCATAACAAAAAAATCTCAACAAATTAAGAATAGATGGAAACTTTCTAAACTTGGTAAGAAAACTGTGAAAACAACTTACAACTATTATCATACTTAATGGTGAAAAACTGAACGTTCCCCCCTAGTATTAGGAACCAGTCCAGAATGTCCCTTCTTACTACACTACTATTCAACTTCACACTGGAAGGCCTACCTAGTGCAATAAGACAAGAAAAGAAAATGATAGGTATATAAATTGGAAAGGAAGAAATAAAACTGTATTTGCAACTGATATTTCTTAGTAGGAAATCCCAATGGTTCTAGCCAAAGAAATGGCTAATAAGTGAGTTCAGCAAGGTCGCAGGATACCAAAACACCCCCAAAACAATTACACTTCTGTGTATTACCAAAGAGCATGAGGAAAATAAAAATTTAAAATCAATGACACCATCACTCAAAAACAAAAGCCTAGATATCCTAACAAAAATGTTCAGAACTTGGATATTGAAAATTATAAAATGCTAACAAAATAAATTGAGGATGACTTAAATAAATGTAGTCATATTATGTGCTTGTTCATGATGCCAATTCTCAAACTGACATACAGTGTGAAATAAATTTCTATAAAATGAGAGTAAGATTTTTTTTGGTAAGAATAGATGATCTTAAGATTTATATAAGAAGTTAAAGAAATTAGGAAAGCTAACTCCAATTTAAGTAACATAGAGAGGAATCACTTTACTCAATTTTAAGATTTCCAGTCTAGCTACAGAAATAAAAGAAATTGGGGGTAATAAAGTTTTAGGTTTTAAACTACAAAGAGAATGGTCTTTTAAAAGTCAAAGCCTTAATAATCTTAACTGGTACAATAAAATATACCCATTTATACATGTATCCTTATCATCTTAAATACCCACCCTTAACTGTCTCTCTTAACATTGGATAGCCATGAATGTATACAAAATACATAAAGGATCAAGGCCTCTGCCCCTAAAACATTATTCTTGCCCCAAGTAAACTAGGTAATCCATGACAAAGTGCTACAGGCTTAACAGAGAAGTCTCATTGCGTTTTCTTTTCTAAGTCTCCTATTTCTTAAAAAAAAAAAAAAATTCCTGAGATACACTGCTCTGCAAACTAAGTAAAAAACTGGAGGGGAAGGTTTTCCTTGGTGCACAGTAAGACTGATCACTCCCTTATAGGTGAATTCTCAGATGCAGAATAAGGCTCTAGGCTGTGTCAGTTTCTAAAATGTGTCTTCCTGTGACAAGTGATGATGAACAACAATGGGTTTTCTCACAGTGAAGATTCTTGTGGGGTGTCTCTTTGGTGTGCACTTTCAGATGCTGTGGTAGATGTTTTCTCTGGCAAAAGATTTCTCTCAGTGTTTACATTCAAAAAGTCTTTCCCTAACAGGAGTTCTCGGAGAGTGAGTGCAGTCTGCCCGCTTGTGAAGGGTCTTCCCACTTCTGCTACACTGACAGGGTTTCTGCCAGAATGCATCCTTTGATGCTGACTGAGGGATGAGCTACGACTGAAGGCCTTTCCGCACTCGCTGCACTTGTAGGGCTTCTCTCCAGTGTGGATGATGGCGTGTCGAATGAGGTTAGTGCTCCAGCAGAAGGATTTCCCACACTCCATGCACTCATAGGGCTTCTCCCCACTGTGAATCCGCTGGTGCCGCGTGAGGCCTGACCTGCGGTTAAAGGCCTTCCCACACTCACTGCACTCATAGGGCTTCTCTCCAGTGTGGATGCTGAAGTGTCGTATAAGGTCTTTCCTAGTGCTGAAGGCTTTCCCACATTCTTTACACTCAAAAGGTTTCTCTCCAGAGTGGGCCCTCTTATGCAAGATAAAAGTGGAGCAGTGGGTGAAGGCCCTACCACATTCCATGCACACAAAGGGCTTCTCTCCAGTGTGGATCCGCTGGTGCCTCTTGAGATACGACCTGTGGTTGAAGGCCTTCCCACACTCCAGGCACTCGAAGGGCTTCTCCCCAGTATGGATGACATAGTGGTGAATGAGGGCTGCACTCTCACAGAAGGCCTTCCCACACTCGCTGCACTCATAGGGCTTCTCCCCTGTGTGAGTCTGCTGGTGCCACATGAGGTATGACCTGTGTTTGAAGACCTTGCCACACTCGAAGCACTCATAGGGATTCTCACCACCGTGGATGATGTGATGCCGAAGAAATCCTGGCCTGTGTCGAAATACCTGCCCACATTCTTTGCAGACAAAGGATTTTTCTCCAGTGTGTCTCCTCTTATGCAAGACAAAATTGGAGCGATGGGTGAAGGCCTTTCCACATTCAGTGCACTTATAGGGCTTCTCTCCACTGTGAATCCTCTGGTGTTGGGTGAGGTATGACTTCCGGTTGAAGGCCTTCCCGCACTCCAGGCATTCATAGGGCCGCTCCCCTGTGTGGATCATGTGGTGCTGAAGGAGGTGTGTGCTCTTAATAAATGTTTTCCCACACTCTGTGCATTCATAGGGCTTCACTCCAGAGTGAATCTTTTCATGTCCAGCAAGAAGATGTTTCTTGTTAAACACTTTCCCACATTCATTGCATTTAAAGATGTTTTCCTCTTCCTGAACCATGGGATGTTTATCAAATTCCTGTGAGTCATGGTCAAGGAGAGCACCTCCCGAAGGAACTGGCGCCCGAGCACTCCCCGAAGGCACACTGCTAGCTGACCATAAGCCTCCACGTTCAGGGCTCCCTGGGAGCTTCTCCCTCGGGGGGTCTATCCTTGCTCTCAAGTGTCCTTCCTGCATAGATACTTCTGATGGCCCATCCCGATCGTTGGTCTGGTCCATTTGGGAGTCTCCTGCAATTTTTTGTGTTAGTTGCTCCTGGGGTGAGAATCTCTCAAGTAGGGCAGGCTCACAGGTGGTAGGTTCTGTGCTCCTGAGTTTTATTTTGTCACCTGAAAGAAATCCAATACACAAAAAGGTGTGTTAGTGATGCCAACACAGAAGAAACAAAATCAGCATTACATTGTACGCTGTGTTTTGTTACCTCTGAATCCCAAGATTGCAATCTATTTCTCTCCTGGTTACTGGACTTCTGACACCCAGGGGAGGGGCTGGGTGACAGGGCAGAGTGTCTGGAGGGGGCACAATGCCCTAATTCCAGACTGGCCATGGCTGTCCACAATAACTCTGTGTGTGCTGAGTCTCCTCTGAGCAAGCGCATCCCACGTGGCTACATGAAAACTTGGGAAGGATATCTAATGCAGCCCAGATGGAAGACAGGAAGTGGACAATGCAAAGTTAACTCTGCAAAGAGAAGTGTAATCTTTTTCCCAATTCCAAGGAAGTAATCTCTACATTCTGGACATTTACAGAATGACAGACATGTCTGGGTTGTTCATGGAGGGCCCCAGGAAACACACCTGATAGTTTATCACAACAGATAACGCATTATGGGCCCCTACATAGTTTATGGTGAGGAGCTGACTCTGAGTAAGGTCTGGCCATATCAGAAAGACCAACCATGTAAGTAGAAAGGTGGGGCTTTGAGCCAAAGGTATTAATGGAGCCTCTGGAAAGGAGGGCTAGAGACTGAGCCCCACTAGCGAAGACTTAGTGAGATGAAGTCACAAGGAAAACCCAGACACTGAGGCTCTGGGGAGCTTCCTGGGTGTGTGATGCTGCATGCTCACACTTCCACATGTCAGTGCCAGGGGGAGAAAAGTCACTGAGAATATGGAATCTTCGTGTATGGAACACTTCTAGCCCTACATTCCACATCTCTTCTAATACGGATCTGTTGTCCTTAATAAATATGATAGTGAGTACAGGGGATTTTAGGGAGTTTTCTTAACCTTTCTAGCAAATAACTGAACCTGAGAGTGGTTTTGGGAAATCCCTGAACTTGAAGCTAGTGTCAGAAGGCCTGGAAAGTCCTGGATTCTCTTACCTCCACCTTTAGTTTGGCTAACACTGTGTAGGAAAAATCAGGGCTTTCCAATGAGAGGTACTCATGATGTGAGTCCCACTGGCACCATAAGAGCCACCACAAAGAGAAAGGGGGAAGGGCACAGCGGCCATGAGAGACAGAAGGTACAAGGGCACTGCAGAGAGTGAGAGGACAGTGCAGAGAATCTGGGATGGACAGACAGGGACAGTGAGGACTGCTGGGACAGGGCTCGTAAGGTGAGCAGGATTGGGATGAACATATTGAGTCTGGTATACCTAAGGAATGGTTTGGTGAAGACTGGCAAAATACACACAATCTACACGGAGAAAATGATAACGTTAAAGATGAGGTCAGCTCTGGTCCAGTAGCTCAGTTGGTTAGAACTTCATCCTGAAATGCCGAGGTTGTGGGCTGGATCCCCAGCCAGCGCACACACAAGAATCAACCAGTAAGTACATAAATCAGTGGAACAACAAATCGATGTCTCTTTCTTTCCCTCTCTCCTTCTCTAAAATCAATCAATCAATCAAGATGAAGTTCATCTGTGAAGGATTTAATAATAAAAAACCAACAATTCTACTCAAGTGAATATATAAATTCAATACAATTCCCTGTAAAGTGCCAATCAGTTACCATGGAACATGAAGTCTGACTGTGGAGCTGCGTGAACAACCAGAGGGGAGAAAAAGGAGTATCAGGAGAAACAACTAGAACAGGAACAGAACCGTAGAAATGGAGATCACATGGGTTAGCAACAGGGGAGTGGGAGGAGGAGAGGGGGGGAAGGTACAGGAAATAAGTAGCAAAGATGGCAGGCAGAAAATAGACCGGGGGAGGGCAGGAATAGTATGGGAAATGTAAAAGCTAAAGAACTTAAGACACATGGAGATGAACTAAAGGGGGGGAATGTGGGAGGGAGGGGGTATGCAGAGTGGAGGGGAATGAAGGGTGGGAAATAGGATAACTGCAGTAACATTATCAATACAATATATATATTTTTGAAAAGGAGTATAAAGAGAAGGACCTTACCAGATAATACCAGATTTTAAGGCCTGGTAGTATTGGCACAGAGAACAGACAAATAGGCACTGGAAGAAGAACAGAGAGTTCAGGAAATACACTCACCCATACAGTGAGCTGGCAGACATCGGGAGGCAGAGTAGCTTGGTGGTAAGGCACAGAGTACAGAGTGAATGGAGCTGGAAAAACTGGGGATGTGGAGGAATGACCTGTCTCATGTTGTACTCAAATGCTGCCTCAGATCAGAGTTAAATGGCAAACACCAAATTTTAAAACTTAAAATAAACAAAAATATCTTCTGATGTTGGGGATAAAGCAAGATTTCTATGCAAGACAAAAAAAAATCATTAATCATGTAAGGAATGTCATTATATTAGACTACACGAAAATAAAGTTCCTCTATTCAGCAAAGTAACTTTAAAGACAAAACTACAAAACAGAAAACTCTATCTGTAACATCTATAACTGATAAAAGTATCTGAACATACAAAGAATCCCTACAAATCAAAAAGCAAACAAGTTAATAGAAAAACATGCATCTGTCATGAAAATGACATTTCAAAGATGAAAACACAAGTTGGCCCACAATTGTATGATCGGGTGCTGAAAACAATGAGACACAATTGTGTGTCCACTTGATAAGCAAAAATCGAGATGCCTCAGAATAGCAAACACGGGACAGTACATGACCAAGGGAACAGCACGGTCTCTTGGGAGAAGTGTAGACTGATCTGGGCTTCTTAGAAAACAATGGTCATTATCATGGAGGCCCGAAGTCTGCATAGCCTATCATCTAACCACCCCAAACCAAGAAAAAGCAAAGACTCCCCTAACCAGGGTAAGATGCCCGGTCCACGTGACTGTTCCGGGCAGCACCGACTACGAGTGCAAGGATGTAAAGAAATGAAATGCCCCAGAGAGTGGATGAATAAACTGTGAGACAGGAGCAATTTTAATTTATTTTCTTCAACTGTGAGGACCTTGAGCATATTTTTACGTTGAACAAAGAAAGAATGAAGTTACACACAAAAAAGCACGTAAGCGAAGAATACAAGTGAAAGGAGAATTTCCTCGTAAAGATGTGATGCAGACCCTGGTCCAGGCACCAGCTATGGTAGGGGAGGGCCTCTCCCACCAGTGATAGGAGATGCCACAGACAGAAGAGTCCGTGAGAGTCTGCGAGAGTTTGCATGTGCGTGGAGGGGTGGAAGGAAGCAGCCCTGACCTTCCACAGGAAACCTTGCTGACTTGTTGGTGGCCCTTGGCTGAGACAGCTGTGGCAGGGGAAGGGATCACTGTCTGGGACAAGAAGGGGGCTGCTCATATAGGACACAGAGCTGACCCGAGGCGCACGCTAACGTACAGAGCAGTTAGGAGATGGTTAGCATCCTCCCCCACCCAGGGGAAAAGATTCGGACAGCTTGAACTGCGCGTGTGGCCACGGATTCGGGAGATGAAGTGATGGAAAGGGAAAACGACTGGGAATGGCTGGGTGCAGGGACTGACGACAGTGGGGCGAGTCCTTCTCTGAAGTCGCATCCAGTCTAAGTTGCTTCAGTGACAGGCCCACTCGCTAACACCGGGGCGGTGGGAGAAGTGAGTAACATCATGGGGTCCTTGCCAGGCATGCCGACTTCTGGGGCCTTTGAGACTTTCAAGTGGAGACCCGGGACTGAGGAGAAAGGCTGGGAAAAGACTCTGAGGGGCTGCCGACACTCACAGGCTGGCTGAGCAGCCCGAGGGACCACGAGAGGGGCAGAAACGACTCCGTAGGGCACCCATCTCCACAAGGGATGCCCTAGTGCCCTCCACAGCTCGCATGTGGGGCAGAGCAATGTCACCTTTCGGCTGCACCACACAGGAGGCATAGGAACAAGGGGTGCCTGTGTTTCTGACGGACACTTAGGAACGCATGGATGGAGAGGGTGAGATGATGGCAGGCAGAGCACAGCTGGAGAGAGCAACAGCGCAGGAAGAATGGCCCTTTTCCTCAGAGTTCAGTGGAAAATGTGAGACTCACTGCTCGTTATGATAAAGCACGAGTAATGCCCGTATCTTACTTTTCACGAGACACTCACAATGGCTCAGACACTGTGCTAAGCAGTTTTATGCATTAAAGCAGTACGTCATCACATCCTCAGACAAACCAATGACAGAGACCCCATTACTATTAGCATCTTACAGCAACAGGCCAGGTGCAGCAGGCTGCACTCACCGAACCCTCCGCCCTCAGATGGCGCACATGGCTTCGGCACACTTCCCAGCCCCCCACCCAGGGGTGCCCAGATGCCTCAGTCCATCAGTGGGATGTGAGGGGCACTCGCGTATGTGGGAGCGGGCATGACACCCTCCCTTCCTCTCTCCATTCTCCTCTGCCAGCTGTAGGATGTCAGGACAACCTGAAAGCCACAGGCTGATGACAGAACAGACATGGGTCCCCAAATAACTGTGTGGTTCAGAGCTCTGGGAGGACCCCCCGGTCCCTGCTGTGACTAAGAAAAAGAGCTTCCATGTGCTGAACGTTGCAATTCTAGAGTCTGATCTGGAAGCTAGTTTTCACTTATGCAAAGACACGGGATCGCAACTTCTTTATGGCCACGGGGCTGGTGATCGGCAAGCCAGGGACTGAGCCCACAGATCCTGGCTCATACACCTCTGTCTTCCACAAGGTCAAAGGCTCCATGGCTTCCAAACTGCCAGACAGGCCACAACAACAGCCTCCCCAGGAATCCACGGCCAGGGTCTCGCGAAGGTCTCCAGCCTTCGGGGTCTTCCGTCTGTCCCCGTCTTGGCTCCTACCTGGACAGGTGCTCTGGGAGAGGTCCTTCTCCACCATCCGCAGCTCCTGCCCATGCTCCAACTGGTGGACCAGCTCAGGACTGGGAACAGGACACCCTGTTCATGGAGAAAGAAAGAAGGTATAAGGATTTGGGGGAAAGGAAATAAAACCTCTCCATTTGGTCTGGGACTTGAGGACTGGACAAGACCTCAGAATAGCGCCGCTCCCATCTGCACAAACAAAAAATGACATGTGATCTGGAATCCTAGGACACAAACACATCACTGGGATCCGAACGCTGTAGGCAGTAATGCTGGCTGGGTAGGCAGCACTCTTCCCTCTACTTCCATCTCATGACATCTCCAATCTGTTCAGTTGTATTTGCGAGATCCTGGGAAACGCCCCCTCTTCCAGAAGGTGTTTTCTAATTAAGCCCAGTAAGTGGGTCTCGACCACCGGTACCTACATCACAACCGCTGGGGTGCCTGGTTCACACGCAACTGAAACCAAATTCCTGCAGCAAGGGACTAGATCTTGGGAGACGTGAAAACCTCCCCAGACAATTCTGGTGTCCATAGAGGGTTGAAAAGCTGTGGTCTCCACCAGCTTGCAAAGGGCTAATGGTTTGAGGTGGGCAGGTGACCTGCATTGGCCACTCTGGGGAGAAAGCTTTACCCCTGGACAGCTGACTGAGGGGACCTGCCACCCTGCTTGTCCTGCAGCATCCTGGGACTTCTGTGAGGTGATCCATGGTCCTGCCTCAGAACCAAGGAGTAAGCAAAGACAAAGTCACTGGGTTAGCACCCTCCAAGCCAGGAGCCAGCCCCACCTCTGAGGTTCTTATTAGGTAAAATAATACAATAATAAATCCCATGTAGGGTGAAGACCAGGCTGGTCCGTCCCATGCAGCTGAGCACAAATGCAGGGAAGAAGGCTCAGGGTGTTTACAGACAAGTCAGTGAGATGTACCACAACCCACAGAAGGCTCCGGCAGATGCTGAGCCACAGCCCAAGATCATCAGTTACCACAAAGTAAATGTTCACTCAAGTCTGCTACATGCCCGGGCTCGGTGATGGGGCGGGGGACAGGTGAACAAGACCTTCCTTTGGCTCTGTTAAGGGTTTTCTCCCTGCGACCTCAGGACCTTTGCACGCTATCAGCCCTTCTATCTGGAAGGCCGTTAGCCCTCCTCATTCCTTCCTGCTGTAACACTTTGTGTCACAGCTTGAGCATCACTTTCTAAATTTTGCTGAACTGTGGCTCTGGGACCACGTTCATCCTAAGGTCCATATGGCAAAACCATACTCCAAGGACTGTGCTGAGCAATGTAAATGCATCATGCCAGTTAAAATGGAAATGACTCCATGGAATAATATCAAACCCGGTGTGTGACTTCAGTGGTCCCCATCTTTTTTACCTTAAGCAGAGTTTTGAAGGTGTGAGCCTTAGACCGTCTGCAGTTTACAGCTGCAATGACTCAGGTCTGCAAGGCTCTGAGCCCCTAGCTGCCACCATGTTTGGAAGAGACGAATTGCATCTGTGGTCCACACACCAATCTCTGTGCTGGTGACCCGGGGGCAACTGGGAAAACTGGGTACCTGGCTACTGCACAGGAGTCTGTGCTTGGATGCAAGTAGGACTGCCTGAGCCCACCACGCCTGAGATCGGCTGAGTCACCTCCTCGGTGACGAGGACACGCAGTGGTCCCCAGGAAGGGTGAGGGTGGGCATAGGTACTCACTGGCATCGTGGTGTGGGGGGCCCCCCCCAGATGCCATGGCACAGAAGAAGTTTAAACTGCTTCGTGGGGAAATCTTGTCACTGCTGCCTGTCTTACTGCTGTTGCCGTTTGTCCCCCAACCCAGTAAGGTATAACAGACCCATCCTTGAAAACTGGTGGTTCAATGTATTATAAAAAAATAACAATAAAAAATAGTACGGGATATTTTGTTCTTATTCCCCCCCCACCCCCCCAGGACACTGGAAGAGGTTTCTCACTTCATCTGCGGTCACCCACCCCGGCTGATATGTCGGGCACACGGGTGGAAGCCCAGCCCCCCGGAGGATATTGCAGGTGGGCCACAAACAGGGGCCACCATGCATGACAGAGGCCACCCGGGGCTGCCAGCAACTTATCAGGTGAACATTCAAATAAAAGAAAAAAAAAACAATCAGGGTCACAGAGGTAACCCCTCTGCCCAGTCCCCAAAAAGATTTTATTTAAGAGAAAAAAGGGGGGAGACAGACAAAGGGACTACTTGTGCTGCTGACTAGGGTCATCCCAGGAAGAGGCTGCTGCCTGGTGCCCCAGGCCCTTCCCATCCAGCCCTCAAAAAAAATCAGGAGATAAACTGAAAACCCGGACTAAAAGTCCAAGAGCGAAAAAGGGCGGGTGGGGACTTTAAACCTTATTTACCAAGCAAATGCCAGGTCTAGCAAACATTAAACTAGTTGTAGACTAGTCACTGATGTAAAAACAGTAACGAAAAACTAACCCCTGGATATGAGGGTGAGGGGTGGGGAGGGAGGAATAAAAGGTAAATAAAACACGATACAGTATGTAACTAAATTAACACTGTCTATAACTTGACCCAACTGGAAACCCAAAATTTACATTAAGTTTATACAATTTATTTTACAAATTATGTATAATAATTATGTACAGCATAAGTATTAAAAATTTATATGCTGCCCTGGCTGGTGTAGCTCAGTGGACTGAGTGCGGGCCTGCGAACCAGAAGATCTCGGTTCGATTCCCAGTCAGGGCACATGCCTCGGTTGCAGGCCAGTTCCCAGCAAGGGACACACGAAAGGCAACCATACATTGGTATTTCTCTCTTTCTCTCCTTCCCTTCTCCTCTAGAGATAAATAAATAAAATAAAATAAATTTATATGCTAAAAATGTTGTATTACAAAAACAAGACAGGGCACTAATTGGCTTATGTGCCTATGCCATAGGTTCTAAATTTAAAATTTACAAACTTCATGAACTTAATGCTACGGCTCAAATCATAGTTATAGCTGGGGTACAATTTAAACATTGCACTCCCCAATCTTAAAGGCAAAAAAGGTTCGCCTCACTTGTAATTGCAGCCTTGCATAAATTTCCCAGTTACAGTGCCCACTGCCCCAAAACATCCCAATTTGAGCACAGATGCTCGGACACAAGACATCACTAAAATGAGATTCTGGCACTTATACACTGGCTGGAAACATGAGAGCCCACTGACCCTGCCATAAATAGTTAATATGGTCCAAAGTAAGTTGAAAAAGAGCATTTGGGGACTAAAAACCATGTAAAACCAAATAAATAAAGGGGAGATCATGCTCACTGCCCTGACAGCCCAGCTGTGTTCAGGAGAAAGGAAGGGCACCACGTGGCGGGTTGCTACAACTGGACTACTGTGGTCCCATATACCAAGGTCCCCATTATGGATTGAGTTGTGTCCCCCTAAATTTCCCGTTAAGCCCTAACCCCCATGTGACAGTATTCGGAGACAGGGCCTTTGAGGAAGTAGTTAGGGTGAAATGAGGTCACAGGGTGCGGCCCTAACCTGAATGGACTGGTGGCCCTAGAAGAAAGAGAGAAAGAGGACCTGTCTCAGCCACAGAGGGAAGGCCATGCGAGGACACAGCAGGATGGCAGCCAGCAGGACAGGTCACCAGAGGCAGCTGTGCTGGCACCGGGTCTGGGACTGCCACCTCCAGAACTGCGTGAACATAAATGCCTGTTGTTTAAGCCACATGGAAACGGCTGCCAGAGCTGACTAGTGCAGTCCACACACCCGATATCCTACACTAGTAAAGTTGGTAACACCAAGCAATCAGCGACCAGCAATTATCTTGTGCTTCTAGATCAGCAGCCGCTCAGCCAGTCTTCCTCCACGTCTGGAGGGCACAGCGCTCCTTCCCCAGGGTTCCCTGGGGCAGCCCAACACTCTGCCACCGAGCACAACCCTGGCAGACCAGACCTCCTTTCCAGGGCGCAGGTACGCTACATGGATGACGGCCTTGTCCAAAGAACTAGTTTTAGATAACAGTATTATGAAATGCTATTTTAGGTCTTATGGCAATATATTCCTCATTTATAAATTTTACTGCATCTCACAGCTACTGAGACTTACAAACCAGTTCCCCTTAAAGCTGTTCAAAGTACCATCGCCCCCATTAGCGGCCTCAGTGCCTCCTTCACTTCAGAGTCACCGACTGGCTCTTCTGCCTCCTGGAGTCTGTCATCTTCGAATGCCCCAGGTGGCCCAAGGGTTTTGATGGGAGCAACCATCCCCACTGGCCTCCTGCTATACGCCGTTACAATAGTGACTACTCACACACCAAGCCTTCCTGAAGAGAAAGGCTCTCACAGACCCACAGCACTGAGCCTCCACACCCAGGGCCCACGATGCTTCCTGTCACCAGCGTGGCACAGACACAGGGCAGAACCCAATCCGGCCTTGGGTATGGTCACCTGCAGGTGGCATGGCCTCCCCACTGCTTAGTCCTGCCATTATTACAATGAAAGGGAGCATCTTTTGTTACTTATAACCAGGCCCATTTCTACAACTGAGTTCATGTTCATGTTAATGAGGTGATTTTTAGAAAGTCCCTAAGGACAGGGGACTAGACACCAGAAGACATCTGGTCCCCTGCCAGAGGATGTCAGCTGCCACAGACAGCCCTGAGTGAAGTGGTTCGTAGTAGTAGCGGTTGGTGCCCGCACTGAATCAAGGGGAGGACGGGAAGCCCGCCCGTCTTCCACGCGGCGGTGTCCGAGCTGCGTCCTTCACAGTAACCAGGTAGCACGAAGCAAGGCACCCCCAGGCTTCTGAGAACTGTTCTAGAAAATTATCAAATGTGAGTAAACCTCCAATTTACAGCCAGCTGCTCAGAATGAGTGACAATGAGTGACCATGACTGGCACCTGCAGTGGGTTGGGTAAGAGTCGGAGAAGGTACCTTACGAGGCTGAGCCCCTACCTTTTAAATTCCAGGCACTTAATGTCAGAAGTATTAAATAGAAAAAGAGGTTTCTTCCTTTTTACACACACACCCCTCCTTTTAGCACACCTCACAACTCCACCGAGATGTTAAGACACCCCCTAAAATTTCAGATTGATTTTCTTGGCTAATGCTACATAAATGGGAAGCTTAGCTGTGGGTCTCCTGCAAGGACTTCTTATACTGTATCTACTTGTGTTTCCTTTTCACTCTCAGAAGAAAATGTCTCTCTGTATTCTTTGGGGCAACTTACGTCATCCTTTGTAAAAATCTCCACTATCATCACCCCCAAGTTTCCTTAATATGATGTGAAAACATCAGAGGACCCATTATTTAATCATTCTTTTAAAGAAATTTTCAGTTTTACAGTGTTCTGACATTTTCAGAGTCTTACCTCTACCCCTTGCAGGGCTAATGCCTAGTACAACTTACCGGGCAGCACACCTTTCCTTTGCAAACAACACAAAGCCATAACCTTCCCACACCCAGCCAGCATTGCCCCTGTCTGAGTCAACCAAGACCCAGCTTCCAGGAACAGCCCTTAATACCCCAAAGCGGGGTGGAAATAGCCTCACCAGCCAGCCCTGAGCTGTTGACCTGCTCCCTTTCCCTTTCCCACGGAAACCCCGAAAACTGCTCTGGGTCCTGCTTCTCCACAATTATAGCTTCCTCCAGACCAATACTGTGCCTCTCCACGTGGCTCTGGGAGACATGTTGTCTCCTCTCCTCTCAAGTGCTGTAATAAATTCTCCTTCCAACAGCATTAACTTCTCTGTGTCACCTGTCACTAAGTCACCTCCATCAACTGAAATCCTTCGGGTATGAATTAACACGGTGGGGATGCTGTGGGAATTAAATGAGTGGAAGGTGAACAGTGTTCAGAGAACCTGTCCTCTGATGGTTAGTTGCTTTTTTCTTTGCTTTTCATTTTTAAAGATTATGCCCTGGCCAGGTAACTCAGTTGGTGAGAGCACTGTCCTGGTTGCTGGTTTGGTCCTTGGTCAGCGCATATACAAGAATCAGTCAATGAATGCATGAATAAGTATGACAACAAATCACTGTTTCTCTTACTTTTTCCCTTCCTCACTCTCTCTTTAAATAAATGTTTTAAAGAAGACTTTATTTAGTTTTAGAGAGAAAGGAAGGGAGAAAGAAAGAGGGAGAGAAACATTAATGGGCTGCCTCTCACACATCCGAAATTGAGGACCTGGCCCGCAACTCAGCATGTGCCCCGAGTAGGAATCAAACTGGCGACCTCTCAGAACCAGTGCTCAACCCACTGAGCCACACCAGGCAGGGCTTCACTGCTTTTCTTAAAAGCAACCTACTTTTTCATTTTCTTAGATTTCTTTTCTTTTTTTTTTTTTAAAGATTTTATTTATTTATCTTTAGAGAGGAAGGGAAGGAGGGAGAGAAATATCAATGTATGGTTGCCTCTCGTGCATCCCCTGCTGGTAATTGGCCTGCAACCCAGGCATGTGCCCTGACTGGGAATTGAACCATAATCCTTTGGTTCGCAGGCCTGCGCTCAATCCACTGAGCTACGCCAGCCAGGGCCATTTTCTTAAATTTCTTCAAGAAAGGAATCTTGCATGGCTCTGGCAAATGGGAAACCCAGAGTCGCTTCCCCTGCTGGCAGGTCACTGTGAAAATTCAGCAATGAAATCAGAACAATGTTATTAAGTCCTGGTGAGCTCAAGCTACTCCACTGGGCTGCCAGCCTGAGGCTCCGCCCCAGCCTGAGGATACTCCCTCAGTAGAAATGCGGAAAGTGAAGGTGTGTTAAGATTCAGCAACAAACCCAAACTTGCCATCAAACAATTAGGGGGCAGGGCAGAGAAGACACAAAGGCGTGGCCTCCTTTGCATACTCTTAGGGCCAGACGTTTCATACCACCTGGAACAGGGCTGCCAGCCTAGTGGGACTATTTCACTGTACAAAACGCTCTGCCGGGAGATGGCAGGTATCGGTCCTCCCACTATAGGAAGGAGTATCCGCATCCCAGATATGACAACAGAAACATCTCCAGACAGTGCTGAGTTGGTCTGGGGAGCAGATCCTAGGGTCAAGAGCGCTGGTAGAGAAGGGTTTCAATAGAACGAGGAGAAAATGAGTGGGATGGGGGAGAGCTTCCACCAGGTCTGGGTCAGGACACGGCGCTGAGGAGGTGGGGACTGTGACAAGGGGTGGTTGCATGAAAGGCTGTAGCGCCCGCGCTCCCAGGCAGACAGACAGCAAGCGCACAGCCAGTGCGCCCGGGGACGACAAGCCGGAGCCAAGCTGGAGCGGAGAAGCTTCGGGAAAGCACGGGAAGCAGGGTGAGACAGGGGAGGGTGAGTGAGGGTGGAAGAGGGTGGAAGGGGGATAAATGGTAATGGGGAAAAAAGTACAACCAAAAAGCAATTTTAAGAAAGGAAAGAAAAACTAATAAAAACTTTTTTCATTAGAAGATATTTAATCTACCAAGCTTTTCTAACTTTGCTTTATTCCTAACTGACAAAATGTTCTTCTAGTTTTTCCAGTAAAAACAGGTATGCCCTGCCGTGACCCCTGGATTCTCAGCCCTCCCCTCCCTGGAGCTGAGTGGTCCGCGTGATTCTCTTCAACCGCAGGACCACCTGAGCTGATGTTTCTCAACCCTGGCACTCTTGACATTTGGATTGGATGATTCTTTGTAGAGGGCGGCTGTCTTGTCCACTGTAGGACGTAGCAGTATCTCTGGACTCTGCCCACTGGATGCCAGTACCACCCACAACCTAGCAGGGACAATCAAAACTGGCCACAGACATTGCCAAGTATCTCTTGGGGGACAAAACTGGCAACTGTTTAGAAGCACTGGAACCTTAAGGAAGTAAGAGACCATCATGAAGATACAAGAGCATAAAGAAGGCCCGAGACTAAGAGCTGTGTGAAGAACACCTGGTAGCAACAAGGGCAAAGGCCTCCCGGGGACCTGCCTGGCTCACCCTGTTCTGGGAGAACATCCCATCACTCAGAGCCCTGACAAGTGCCCTGGAGGGGACACTGGGGCCAACCAGGCTCACTCAGCCAGACTCTCTCTGGAACACAAAATGAGGCACCTCCAACAGAGGCCAATCTGTGCCGGGCACTGGGGAAAATGGGCTCAGTGGCTACCGCTGCCTCAAAGACGCCCCCGAGAGTCCCCGAGCAGCAAAGGAAGAATGAAAAACAATACAAAGAAGCAAAAAAGTAGGGACAAAGAATCTAGGGGTCACAGAGAGCAGGAACTGAGGTGGCCAAGCTTGTCACAAACTCCCTAAGCAGAAAAAGCCATTCTGAATAGTGTGACATAGCAGACCCAGAGAGAGAAGTCAGAACGAGAGACCCAGCAGCCGGGGCAGAATCGGGTGGTTCCCAGTTCCTGTACCAGTCCCACGAGGGCCCTGGTGGGTTCTGCACAACCGAGTTGTGTACAACACCGCCTCTGGGTCCTGGCACAACACCACTTTTCCTTCCATCACTTTCTGGAATCAAAAGGAACGCTATGTTTCTTGCCCAAGAGACACATGGAGACTTAGGCAAAGAGATCTAGCAAATGACTGAGGCTGTGGGGTGGAGGAAACAGGGCTCCTGAGACCTTCCTGACCACTGGCTCTGGAGCCAGAGGGTAGAAGAAGGAAGTGGCAGGTGACCCCCACATGGCAGAGCTGGGGAGGACTCACCCAGAGACACTAGGAGCCTGCAGGTCTCCAGCATCACCTCCTGGTACAGAGTCCTCTGGGCTGGGTCCAGCTGCCCCCACTCCTCCTGGGTGAAGGTCACAGCCACATCGCTGAAGGTCACAGATACCTGGAAAGTCAAACAGAGGAAGTTGAATTGGCCTTGGGGCTGCTGTACAGAATCAGCAATCATCTTTGCATCACGGTAAAGGTGCAGACATCAAGGCCCAGAGCTGCAAGCACCTCCTGAAGGCCGAGCTCTGTGCTGGGCTCAGGGGGAGGTGGGCAATGCTTTGGACATAGTACCACAGTGTAGGAGAAAAGCCTCGGCAGGAGCCATTGTAACTGAGACAAGACAAGGGAAGTGGCATACAGACTGTGAGATGCAGACAGTAAGAAAGGCTCCAGGACATCAGAATGAGAAAATAATGACAATAATAATGTCAGTAATGGTAATAACAGATGTGCCTGGGTCTCACTGATTCTGCAACTGCCTGCCCCATGCTGAGGGCTCCACTTCTTGGTTAAAGGAACCAAAACTCCTCAGTTCTGTCTCCTGTGGTTTGTATCCAAACTTTTTTTGATTTATTGATTTTAGAAGGAAAGGGAGGCGAGAGAGAGAGAGAGAGAGAGAAACATTGTCTGTTTCACTTATTTATGCATTCACTGGTTGATTCTTGTACTTTCCCTGGCCCAGGATTGAACCTGCAACCTTGGAGTATGGGGACCATGCTCTAACCAATGGAGCCACTTGGCCAGGACCATTTGCACCAACTTTTGCTGTGAAATCCACTTTTGTCACCCCTAAAAATATATCTGTGAGCATGTGAGCAGAGTAGTAGAGCTTCACCTTCACAGGAGAACCGCCTGAAGGGGCAGCACCTACCTGGGTAATGTCCAGACCTGAGCCAGCGCCCCACACGCCATAGGTGTCAGGTCTCCCAGGGAGATTCCACAACAAATCAATAGCCTCTTTCCCTTCCTGAATCCTGAATGAACTTACCCCCGGAGCCAGGCCACTTCAGGACCAGGGAGCACAAACAGTGACCAGGAGAGGAAGAGCCTTGCCAATGTCTGTCCTGGCTGAAGACAGGTGACCCCCTGCACACAGGCTGCAACTGTGACAAGAGGAGCCTTGGACTGGTCAGTGACTGTCGCAGCTGAGGATGGGTGACACCCTGCACTGTCACCCTCCCAAACCTGTCTCAGCAGCTGCGGGAACCAGGGCCACCCCCCATCCAGGCCCTCCTTAAACAACCCACACACCTGGCCTTTGTCCGTGCCCTTCCGCCTAGAAACCCTCATGTCTTCTCTGGCTCCTTTGTCCAAGGTCACCTGTGGGAAAACAGGTGACCCAGGGAGGACCCCTGCAGGATGCAGTGGGGGTTTGGGATTGACGATGGGAACCCTAGACAAGGCATCACCCATTCTTAAAGCAACTCAATGACCACCTGTCAGTGGCCCAACACCGTTTAGAACCGGGGACAAATTAAGTGACAACCCAGGTCTACAGGCTTGGTCCAAGCCGGTGCATGTGTCCCTGCTCCCAGCCTGTCAGCTCCGAAATCACCATCAATCACCTGCACCTGGCGAGGCGGCGACGCCGCCATCGTGCGACCCTGAGGAGGCGAGCACGGGCGACCTCGGCTGACCGTCGCAGTCCGGACCGCGGATCGCAGTGTCCTCCGCGGACGGGGCGCGGCCCTGGGCGACAGCGGGGATGAAGGGCGAGCGCACAGGCCCTGCGGACGCCGCGGCCCAACGGGCGGCCAGCGGAGTCACGGTCCGGACACACGCTCTGAGATGAGGCCGACCCGCCTCCCCTGCACGAGAAGGGGAGCAGACGACAGGCCCAAGGACGGGGAACAGCCCCGATCTCCGATAGTTAGGGACTCCTGGGACCTAACCGCAGAGGCAAATGGCGTCCTCCAAGCAAAAACCGGAAGTCCCGCCCACGTACCCAAGCCGCTGGAAAAGCCCCAATTCCCGCCTCAGACGCACGAAGCACAGCCTTCTGGGTAACGTAGTCCTCCACACCAGGAGGACTCTGGTCACTCATCTCTCCCGAGCCACCCGGAGCGTGTTAACCCGGAAGTCATTCTTTGCGTAAAGGGCGCACTAGCTAAGGAAATTGAGGGGAAATCGAGGCCCTAGAGGCAGAGAATTTCGCCCTCTTCAGGGAAAGTGTGAAGGCACGGGGCTGGGGCCCGGAATCGCTTGGTGACTTACCCACTCGTGTTAATCCCTTTCCAGATTTTCTTAAGGACAAAATGTAGTTTAAAAACCCTCCTGCGGACGGTGCCGGAAGTCCCGCCTTCATACCTCGTTCACTCACACGCTGAGCTCTAGTAAAATTAGTTTGTATCAGAACTTCCTTCTTGTGATGCATGAATTTAGGAGCCGCGCAGTTGGGATGAAGTCCCGTAAAGAATGGATATACCATCCCTTGAGGCAGGGGGAGGCCCATGTGGAGGCGGCCTGGAGGAAAATTCAGCATGTCAACCTACCACAATGACAACGTGGGGAGAGAGTTGGAGCCTGGGTATCTAAATTTGGGAGTTATCTAAAACTTATTTCAATTCTTGACTCTAGATAAGACTATCAAGAGGATGAGCGTAGAATGGAGAGAATGGACAGAACATGAACCCTGGACCAACCTCCCCTTTTGTTAAGTGGCTGATGATAAGAAACCAAGAAACTCAAGTTAGGGATTTTTAAAAAATATATATTTTTTATTTTGTTGATTATGCCATTACATTTGTTCTATTCCCCCCTTTATTCGCCTCTACCCTGTACACCCCTCCCCCACCATTCCCCCCTTTAGTTCATGAACACGTGTCTCAAGTTCTTTAGATTCTATATTTTCCATACTATTCTTATTCTCCCCATCTATTTTCTGTCTACTGTCTATGCTACTTATTTTCTGTACCTTCACCCCCCCTTCTCCTTTTCCCACTCCCCTGTTGCTAACCCTCCATGTGATCTTCATTTCTATGGTTCACTCCTGATCTAGCTGTCCTCTTAATTTGCTTTTGTTTTAGGTGTGGTTGTTAATAACTGTGAGTTTGCTGTCCTTTCACTGTTTATCTTTTTTATCTTCTTTTTTTTAGGTAAGTCCCTTTCACATTTCATATAATAAGGCCTTGGTGATGATAAACTCCTTGAATTTGATCTTATCTGAGAAGCACTTTATCTGTCCTTCCATTCTAAATGAAAGCTTTGCTGGATAGAGCAATCTTGGATGTAGGTCCTTGACTTTCATGACTTGGAATACTTCTTTCCAGCCCCTTCTTGTCTGTAAGGTCTCTTTTGAGAAATTGGCTGACAGTCTTATGGGAACTCCTTTGTAGGTAACTGCCTCCTTATCTGTAGCTGCTTCTAGGATTCTCTCCCTCATTTTAATCTTGGCTAATGTAATTATGATGTGCCTTGGTGTGTTCCTCCTTGGATCCAACTTCTTTGGGACTCTCTGAGCTTTCTGGACTTCCTGGAATTTTATTTTCTTTGCCAGAGTGGGGAGGTTCTCCTTTGCTATTTGTTCAGATAACTTTTCCACTTATTCCTCCTCCTCTTCTCCTTCTGGCACTCCTATGATTCATATGTTGGAATGTTTAAAGATGTTCTGGAGGTCCCTAAGCCTCTCATTTTTTTTTTTTTGAATTCTTGTTTCTTCATTCTGTTCTGCTGGGACGTTTCTTTCTTCCTTATGGTCCACATCGTTGATCTGAGCCCTAGTTTCCTTCCCATGACTATTGATTCCCTGTACATTTTGTACAGGTGGGCCTTCATTTCACTTAGCATAGCCTTCATTTTTTTCATTTAATTTGCAACCAAATTCAACCAATTCTGTGAGCATCTTGATTAACAGTGTTTTGAACTGTGCGTTTGATAGGTTGGGTGTCTCTTCATTGCTTAGTTGTATTTTTTTCTGGAGCTTTGATCTGTTCTTTTGTTTGGGCCATTTTTTTTTTTTTTGTCTCGATGCACCTGTTATGTAGCGAGGGGTGGAGCCTTAGGTGTTCACCTGGGCGGGGCAACCCACGTCTCTGGGTTGTGATGCTATATGTGGGGGAAGTGTCTGAGAGGGAACAATGGCTCTTGCTCCACTCTGTGCCAGATTTCATTCACTTCCCCCAGTTTCCACAAGCAAATTGGGCCCTTTTGGTGCTGATTCCCGGTGGGTGGGCCTGTGCATGTTCTAGGACTCTGTGAGTCTCTCCAACAAACTCTCCTGTGATGCTGGGAGTTTCTCCCTCTGCCTCAAATCCCCACAGGCGTTTTTAATCAGTGGTTTGAGGCTTTATTTCTCCATGCTGGAACCCTGGGTTGCGAGATCTGTCCCACTCCCCAGTTGTTTCTCCCAGTTTATCTGTGTGCGAATATGGGACTGCCCTGTCCGCAATCTGTCACCTCACTGGGTTTGCCAGCTGCTGCCTTGTTGGCTAGCTGCAGTCTTGCTCATCCCGCTCCACAATTCACGACCTCACTGGGTCCACTAGCCACATGCCCTGGTCCCTCCAGCTGCCACCTTGCCACTAGTCCTCTCTGTCTCGCTGCCCATCTCTGCCCCACCCACCAATCAGATGAATGTGTCTTCTGTAACTCCTTGGTTGTCGGAATTCCATACAGTTTGGTTTTCTGTCAGTTCTGGTTGTTTTTTTGTTTTAAAATTGTTGTTGTCCTTCTTTTGGTTGTGCGAGAAGGCACAGTGTATCTACCTATGCCTCCATCTTGACCGGAAGTAGTAAATAAAATTTTTTAAAAAAGAGTAAGGCAGTGATGGGGCTGAGATGACATAAACATTAAATTCTCTTTTCCTTACTTAGTGTTGGTTTCAGAATCGAAGATCTAGGCACTGAACCCAGAAAAAATTGGAACCCGAGGAGGACTTAGAAGGAAGCTGGAATGAAGATCATCCTGTGGAGAAGAGTCAAGGTAAATAACCTGTTCCAGCCCTGTTCCCAGCAGAGCCCCTAGGGTATCATAATTCCTCTGTCTAGCAGTGGAGCCAACTAGCACTCTTTGAGTGGGGAAAGAATGTTCTCTCTCTCAGGGCCTCCTGGTCCATGTCTTCTTTTTAACAACCCAACCATACACTGTGTCTCCTCTGACACATTCCTCCTGGAATGGGTCTTCTCAGAGAGAGGCAGTGGGTTCCAAATTAGCTGGAGATGGTGGGACAGGTTTGGGTTCCTTGTCTGCATCTGTGAACCGATCTGTGCAGTCTTACCCTGACCCTCAGTAGAGAAGATAGGCACTGTCAAACCTACTCCATTTTCTCCCAATTACACACTCTCACCTCGACATTTGTGAACAGCTTTTATCCTGGGATTGATTCCAGAGAGCAACTCGCTCAGGAGATTGGAGTTCTGGCGTCGAGTCCACATGAGTGATAAGGAATTTGATGGCCTCATCTACTGGGGTCAGGGATGCATGGGAAGAGGGGCCACAGCTCTGAGCCAGGCACATTCCCATTCCAGGGCCTATCATGACCTTTCTTTCTGCCTGTTGCCTGGTAGGTTCTACCTCCAGGAACCTACTGGCTCACCCTCTCACCCTTTTCAGTTCTTTTCCATCATAATGTTGTATTCCCTGTGTTCTGAACAGTGACACTCATTAAGAATTGGTTGAACCCTGGCCAGGTGGCTCAATTGGTTGGAGCATCATCCTGTACATCAAAAGATTGTGGGTTCAGTTCCTGGTCAGGGCACATGCCTCGGTTGCAGGTTCGATTCTTGCATACTGGAAGGGGTACATATGGGAGGCAACTAACTGATGTTTACCTCTCACATTGATGTTTCTCTTTCACTTCCTTTCTCACTCATTCTCTGTCCCTCTCTCCCTTCCTCTCACTCTGTGATCAATGAATATATCATCGGGAGAGGAGTTCTATCATTTGACAGAACTTTCAGGAGAGTTCGTCAGGAGAACTCAAAAGTTCTATCATTTGATAGAACTTTCTATCAAATTCTTCAACTTTTATAATTATTCTTGTGTCCGCTTTAGATGTTTAACATTTAGTTCACACCTAAAATATGGCAAATGGCCCTGGCTGGTGTGGCTCAGTGAATTGAGCACCAACCTATGAACCAAAAAGTCACCAGTTTGATTCCAGGTCAGGACACATGCCCGGGTTGCAGGCCAGGTCCCCAGCTACAGACATGCAAGAGGCAACTGATTGATGTTTCTCTCCCTCTTTCTCCCTCCTTTCCCCTCTCTCTAAAAATAAATAAAATCTTTTAAAAAATGGCAAATAGACAGAAATTCATAGGTACAGAGTACAAAGTGATGGTTGCTGGGGGCTGGGGGTGGGGTGGAGGATGGGCAGAAAAAGGGAAGAGGATTAAGTACAAACCTTCATTTACAAAATAGTCATGGGATGTACTTTACGTGGGGATGTAAAGTGCGGCACAGGGAATATAGTCAATAATATTGTAATAACTGTATGATGACAGGTGGGTTCTAGACTTATTAAAGTGATCACTTTGTAAGGTGTAAATGTTGAATCACTATGTTGTACACCTGAAACTAATAGAATATTGTATGTCAACTATAATTTTTTAATATTAAAAATATTTAAAAAATAAAGCCCTGGCTGGTGTAGCTCAGTGGATTGAGCGCAGGCCTGCGAGCCACACAATCGCGGTTCGATTCCCAGTCAGGGCACAAGCCTGGGTTGCAGGCCAGTTCCCAGCAGGGCACTCACAAGAGGCAACCATACATTGATATTTCTCTCCCTCTCTCCTTCCCTTCCCTTCTAAAAATAAATAAATAAAATCTTTTAAAAATATTTAAAAAATTAAATTGAGTTTAAAACTAAAAAAATAAAAGAAAGAATCACATAAATGGAGCTCACATGGAGGGTTATCAATGGGAGGGGGTGAGGAAGAATGGAGGAAATGGTACAGGGAATAAAAAGCATAAATTGTAGGTACAA